TTCAACATGTAGAAGTAGAAAGTACAGGTATTTGTGTTCAACATGTAAGAAGTAGAAAGTACAGGTATTTGAGTTCAACCTGTAAGAAGTAGAAAGTACAGGTATTTGTGTTCAACATGTAAGAAGTAGAAAGTACAGGTATTTGTGTTCAACATGTAAGAAGTAGAAAGTACAGGTATTTGTGTTCAACATGTAAGAAGTAGAAAGTACAGGTATTTGTGTTCAACATGTGAGAAGTAGAAAGTACAGGTATTTGTGTTCAACATGTAAGAAGTAGAAAGTACAGGTATTTGGGTTCAACATGTGAGAAGTAGAAAGTACAGGTATTTGGGTTCAACATGTAAGAAGTAGAAAGTACAGGTATTTGTGTTCAACATGTAAGAAGTAGAAAGTACAGGTATTTGTGTTCAACATGTAAGAAGTAGAAAGTACAGGTATTTGAGTTCAACATGTAAGAAGTAGAAAGTACAGGTATTTGTGTTCAACATGTAAGAAGTAGAAAGTACAGGTATTTGTGTTCAACATGTGAGAAGTAGAAAGTACAGGTATTTGTGTTCAACATGTGAGAAGTAGAAAGTACAGGTATTTGTGTTCAACATGTAAGAAGTAGAAAGTACAGGTATTTGTGTTCAACATGTAAGAAGTAGAAAGTACAGGTATTTGTGTTCAACATGTGAGAAGTAGAAAGTACAGGTATTTGTGTTCAACATGTAAGAAGTAGAAAGTACAGGTATTTGTGTTCAACATGTGAGAAGTAGAAAGTACAGGTATTTGTGTTCAACATGTAAGAAGTAGAAAGTACAGGTATTTGGGTTCAACATGTAAGAAGTAGAAAGTACAGGTATTTGGGTTCAACATGTGAGAAGTAGAAAGTACAGGTATTTGGGTTCAACATGTAAGAAGTAGAAAGTACAGGTATTTGTGTTCAACATGTAAGAAGTAGAAAGTACAGGTATTTGTGTTCAACATGTAAGAAGTAGAAAGTACAGGAATTTGTGTTCAACATGTGAGAAGTAGAAAGTACAGGTATTTGTGTTCAACATGTGAGAAGTAGAAAGTACAGGTATTTGAGTTCAACATGTAAGAAGTAGAAAGTACAGGTATTTGAGTTCAACATGTAAGAAGTAGAAAGTACAGGTATTTGTGTTCAACATGTAAGAAGTAGAAAGTACAGGTATTTGAGTTCAACCTGTAAGAAGTAGAAAGTACAGGTATTTGTGTTCAACATGTAAGAAGTAGAAAGTACAGGTATTTGTGTTCAACATGTAAGAAGTAGAAAGTACAGGTATTTGTGTTCAACATGTAAGAAGTAGAAAGTACAGGTATTTGTGTTCAACATGTGAGAAGTAGAAAGTACAGGTATTTGTGTTCAACATGTAAGAAGTAGAAAGTACAGGTATTTGGGTTCAACATGTGAGAAGTAGAAAGTACAGGTATTTGAGTTCAACATGTAAGAAGTAGAAAGTACAGGTATTTGTGTTCAACATGTAAGAAGTAGAAAGTACAGGTATTTGAGTTCAACATGTAAGAAGTAGAAAGTACAGGTATTTGTGTTCAACATGTAAGAAGTAGAAAGTACAGGTATTTGTGTTCAACATGTGAGAAGTAGAAAGTACAGGTATTTGTGTTCAACATGTAAGAAGTAGAAAGTACAGGTATTTGAGTTCAACATGTAAGAAGTAGAAAGTACAGGTATTTGAGTTCAACATGTAAGAAGTAGAAAGTACAGGTATTTGGGTTCAACATGTAAGAAGTAGAAAGTACAGGTATTAGTGTTCAACATGTAAGAAGTAGAAAGTACAGGTATTTGAGTTCAACATGTAAGAAGTAGAAAGTACAGGTATTTGTGTTCAACATGTAAGAAGTAGAAAGTACAGGTATTTGAGTTCAACCTGTAAGAAGTAGAAAGTACAGGTATTTGTGTTCAACATGTAAGAAGTAGAAAGTACAGGTATTTGTGTTCAACATGTAAGAAGTAGAAAGTACAGGTATTTGTGTTCAACATGTAAGAAGTAGAAAGTACAGGTATTTGTGTTCAACATGTGAGAAGTAGAAAGTACAGGTATTTGTGTTCAACATGTAAGAAGTAGAAAGTACAGGTATTTGGGTTCAACATGTAAGAAGTAGAAAGTACAGGTATTTGTGTTCAACATGTGAGAAGTAGAAAGTACAGGTATTTGTGTTCAACATGTAAGAAGTAGAAAGTACAGGTATTTGGGTTCAACATGTAAGAAGTAGAAAGTACAGGTATTTGGTTTCAACATGTGAGAAGTAGAAAGTACAGGTATTTGGGTTCAACATGTAAGAAGTAGAAAGTACAGGTATTTGTGTTCAACATGTAAGAAGTAGAAAGTACAGGTATTTGTGTTCAACATGTAAGAAGTAGAAAGTACAGGTATTTGAGTTCAACATGTAAGAAGTAGAAAGTACAGGTATTTGTGTTCAACATGTAAGAAGTAGAAAGTACAGGTACTTGAGTTCAACATGTGAGAAGTAGAAAGTACAGGTATTTGTGTTCAACATGTGAGAAGTAGAAAGTACAGGTATTTGTGTTCAACATGTGAGAAGTAGAAAGTACAGGTATTTGAGTTCAACATGTAAGAAGTAGAAAGTACAGGTATTTGAGTTCAACATGTAAGAAGTAGAAAGTACAGGTATTTGTGTTCAACATGTAAGAAGTAGAAAGTACAGGTATTTGAGTTCAACCTGTAAGAAGTAGAAAGTACAGGTATTTGTGTTCAACATGTAAGAAGTAGAAAGTACAGGTATTTGTGTTCAACATGTAAGAAGTAGAAAGTACAGGTATTTGTGTTCAACATGTAAGAAGTAGAAAGTTACAGGTATTTGAGTTCAACATGTAAGAAGTAGAAAGTACAGGTATTTGAGTTCAACATGTAAGAAGTAGAAAGTACAGGTATTTGGGTTCAACATGTAAGAAGTAGAAAGTACAGGTATTTGAGTTCAACATGTAAGAAGTAGAAAGTACAGGTATTTGTGTTCAACATGTAAGAAGTAGAAAGTACAGGTATTTGAGTTCAACATGTAAGAAGTAGAAAGTACAGGTATTTGTGTTCAACATGTAAGAAGTAGAAAGTACAGGTATTTGTGTTCAACATGTGAGAAGTAGAAAGTACAGGTATTTGTGTTCAACATGTAAGAAGTAGAAAGTACAGGTATTTGAGTTCAACATGTAAGAAGTAGAAAGTACAGGTATTTGAGTTCAACATGTAAGAAGTAGAAAGTACAGGTATTTGGGTTTCAACATGTAAGAAGTAGAAAGTACAGGTATTAGTGTTCAACATGTAAGAAGTAGAAAGTACAGGTATTTGAGTTCAACATGTAAGAAGTAGAAAGTACAGGTATTTGTGTTCAACATGTAAGAAGTAGAAAGTACAGGTATTTGAGTTCAACCTGTAAGAAGTAGAAAGTACAGGTATTTGTGTTCAACATGTAAGAAGTAGAAAGTACAGGTATTTGTGTTCAACATGTAAGAAGTAGAAAGTACAGGTATTTGTGTTCAACATGTAAGAAGTAGAAAGTACAGGTATTTGTGTTCAACATGTGAGAAGTAGAAAGTACAGGTATTTGTGTTCAACATGTAAGAAGTAGAAAGTACAGGTATTTGGGTTCAACATGTGAGAAGTAGAAAGTACAGGTATTTGGGTTCAACATGTAAGAAGTAGAAAGTACAGGTATTTGTGTTCAACATGTAAGAAGTAGAAAGTACAGGTATTTGTGTTCAACATGTAAGAAGTAGAAAGTACAGGTATTTGAGTTCAACATGTAAGAAGTAGAAAGTACAGGTATTTGTGTTCAACATGTAAGAAGTAGAAAGTACAGGTATTTGTGTTCAACATGTGAGAAGTAGAAAGTACAGGTATTTGTGTTCAACATGTAAGAAGTAGAAAGTACAGGTATTTGTGTTCAACATGTAAGAAGTAGAAAGTACAGGTATTTGTGTTCAACATGTGAGAAGTAGAAAGTACAGGTATTTGTGTTCAACATGTAAGAAGTAGAAAGTACAGGTATTTGTGTTCAACATGTGAGAAGTAGAAAGTACAGGTATTTGTGTTCAACATGTAAGAAGTAGAAAGTACAGGTATTTGGGTTCAACATGTAAGAAGTAGAAAGTACAGGTATTTGGGTTCAACATGTGAGAAGTAGAAAGTACAGGTATTTGGGTTCAACATGTAAGAAGTAGAAAGTACAGGTATTTGTGTTCAACATGTAAGAAGTAGAAAGTACAGGTATTTGTGTTCAACATGTAAGAAGTAGAAAGTACAGGTATTTGAGTTCAACATGTAAGAAGTAGAAAGTACAGGTATTGTGTTCAACATGTAAGAAGTAGAAAGTACAGGTATTTGTGTTCAACATGTGAGAAGTAGAAAGTACAGGTATTTGTGTTCAACATGTAAGAAGTAGAAAGTACAGGTATTTGTGTTCAACATGTAAGAAGTAGAAAGTACAGGTATTTGTGTTCAACATGTGAGAAGTAGAAAGTACAGGTATTTGTGTTCAACATGTAAGAAGTAGAAAGTACAGGTATTTGTGTTCAACATGTGAGAAGTAGAAAGTACAGGTATTTGTGTTCAACATGTAAGAAGTAGAAAGTACAGGTATTTGGGTTCAACATGTAAGAAGTAGAAAGTACAGGTATTTGGGTTCAACATGTGAGAAGTAGAAAGTACAGGTATTTGGGTTCAACATGTAAGAAGTAGAAAGTACAGGTATTTGTGTTCAACATGTAAGAAGTAGAAAGTACAGGTATTTGTGTTCAACATGTAAGAAGTAGAAAGTACAGGTATTTGAGTTCAACATGTAAGAAGTAGAAAGTACAGGTATTTGAGTTAAACATGTAAGAAGTAGAAAGTACAGGTATTTGAGTTCAACATGTAAGAAGTCAAAGTCAAAAGTCGTCAGAAAAATAAGTAGTGAAGTAAAGTACTGATACCAGAAAAATATACTTAAGTACAATAACAAATAACAATAACGTGTCTCACCACGTTGTTGCGTGCGATCCCGCTGTAGTCGGCCTCTGGAGGAAGAACCACGTAGAGCTCGGCCTCGTACGCCCCTCCCTCTCCTTCGTTCCTGGCATTGAACGTCAGACTCAAGGAGTTTTCATCGCCCAGGTAGACCTCCGCTCTGTCACTGAGAGACGAGAACCACAGCAAGGTTGTTGACAACAAATGAAATAATTACCTTTTCAGCATGTTGGAAAACTGCTGAACACACAGCGTAGAAAAGTGAGTTCCAAAACCAGAAATCTTAGAAGATAAACAGTGAGCAGTTCCAGAACTTTGTCAACACTAGTGCTGTAGCGACACGTCGACTTCAAAATATCGTCGACGACATATTTCCGCGTCGACGCGTCGCTACACACACGTGGGTCACCCAAAGCAACAAGCAGTTCGCAATCGCACTTCAAACACAATGGAGACTGAAACGGCTACCACCTCCTCCTCACAGGATTGCGCACGAAGCTCCCAAACGAAAACATCTCGCCCCAGGTCTTCAAAAGCATGGGAATATTTTAAAGTTAGTCCAAAACGCAAAGATATTTATATATTTATATCTCACTGAGACTGCTGCATAGCCTAGCAGAAGCAGCAGCTAGCTGTGGTGGCTACCATTAGCAGCTAGCATTTGCTCTCCGATTTTTACATAAAATGGAATTATGGATTATAAATTCAATCATTTTTTTATACATAGACGTTAAAAACCTATGGATTAACCGATTCAGCCGCGTTTTTTCTCATTTTAATGCCATTGAACACGTCTTTTGATCAGATTGACAGCTGGTGGTGAGACGATCTCCCGAGAAGCTCTGTGAAGGTACGTGTTGTGATGACTGTATTTGCTTCCCCTGTCGCGAGTCCGGATCACTCAGTGATGATACTATATACCTACATAATCTGTGGAGTCTCAGCTTTAATCGGATATATTGTATGTGCAGCTACGATAAGTAATAAGGGTACTTTTATCTTGAGTTCTGTGCCAATGTCCGTTAGCATTTTTCGCTCAGGGGTCATTTAGATGCTTCTTATGAGACTTGTGTTTTGTTTTGGTAAACATGGTTTGTATCGTCAATTAGCTGAGATTATTTCCGTTAATCTGGTATAACACATTAATAGGTTCTTAAATATTAAGATCCCCTGAGACACAGTATCGTGAAAAAAAAATTGTTTACATTACGTTTTTTTTTACATTACGTTTTTTATGAATTGAACAACAGAAAAATAATCGTTAGATTAGTCGACTAATCGATCAAATAATCGCCCGATTAATCGTTTTCAAAATAATCGTTTCCCCCCAGCACTAGTCAACACCCCTAATACATGATGGCTTTCTGTCTTTTTTATTCTTTTCCATCCATTATTTGAGAAGTTACTTGAAAAAATACCTTAAGAAACATTTTTAAACCGTTTTTCCGTTGCAGCAACAATTTGTGAGTTTCACATTTGAGTTTGTACGTTTGTGTAGTAGTTGCTTAACATCCATGGTCCTCAGAAGGTCTTCTTTAAAAAATAACGTAACATCTACAGCAGGGGTACTCAAATACAAATCTTAAAGGTCCAAAATAAATGTTTCAATAAGACAAAGGTCCGTTTATTACGGTCATTCAAACTTTTAAACTATTACAACAAGATTCTTAACACGAGGTTGCAAAAACAAAAACAATCTGTATGCAGCAGTTTTCATTGTTATTGTGTCTGTGCTTGACCCCTCAGAGTCGCAGTGTAAGAGCTGCACATTTATGAATAAAGGCAGCTGCACCCTCTTTCATTCAGCATTCCCATTATTGCTTTATAAATGTATTCCCCCTTGTGTGTCCACTGAGGTTCGTCAGGCCCAACACATCTTCAACAAACTCCCCCTTTGCCTCATCATAAAAACTCACAAACACCAGCAACTGAGCATTGTCAGTGGTGTCAGTGGACTCACCCACAGCTAAGGAAATGCACTGTGCATTTTTTATTCCATCACAAAGCTGATTAATCAAATCACCAGCCAGTATTTATGTTCTTCTGGTTGCTGTGGAATCTGAGAGGGGGATTTGCTTGATTTGACCTGTTATTTCCTCTTTTTGTTTGCCTTCAACATGGTCTCCATCACTTCAGTCATGCATTATTTTATACTGCAGTTATTATCCAGTGGAAAGTCCTTACCTACTGGCCTAGTTCAATCAAAGTGGTTACTTTTTTTTGGCTGGGCAGTGAAGTTTTACACACCGTCTTATTTGACTTTCTCAGGACTTAAAACAGTTTTTTGGGGGCAGACCCCCTCAAAGAAAACAATATATTTACACACGTAAGGTCATCATCTTAATAGTTGTGTATGCTCATCCGTGAGCAGAGCATCAAGTTGACATGTCTATTACAGCTGAATGCGGCGATTACCATCTTGTTCAGCAAAACGCCTCACAAACGTATTAAGATCCAAAGCTTTAGTGCGTTTTGATTCAATGCTGAGTACAGCCACACTGACAGTCTCTTCTCTGTCAGTGTAGACCGCAAATACCTCATTCCTTCAGCGCTTGGGTCCGAATGCTTCTCGTTTTGCGCCGTCCAGTTCAAAATGAAATCGCCGCCAATCGTATGTCCACGCTCGCGCCAGGACCGGGGGAGGGGTTACATGACGTGCATCTTGTGCTGCATTCACTTGCACTCGGACATTAGAGACTTTCTCTCATAAATGTCCGATGAGCCACAACTTTTCTTTCAAAACAAAGCTACCAACTGGGGTGGCAGCTGGGGTGGCAAGGCCTATTTTTAGGGTGTCAGATGCCACCCCGGTAGGTGAAACTAGGCTACAAGCTACAGTACAGATGGAACTAGATGAGCTGTTAACTCTCGCTCTGAATTTATTTATTTTAAATTCTCGCTCTGACTTAGACAGGTTGAAAGAGACACACACATTTTTCCCACCCCCATTCCGCGAAGACCCGCCCTACTGTGCCTCTGATTCGCAGATTGTTTGGGGGAAAAAAACGCTGACTGGATGCTGAATGTGATTGGACCAAAGCGTTGACACACACAGGTGGAACACAGTGGAACAGTCAGACATGCAGAGCGCTGTTTGCAGTGGACATAGCGGAGAATTTTGACTCGTTGCGAATGCGTTGTGGCGATGTCTCACATATAATACAGAGAGATAATACATATGAAAAGTATAATTTGCTCAGAGTCCGGAGACAGTGGTGGTTCGGTCCGGATCCGGACCGGAGTCCGTAGTTTGAGGATGCCTGATCTACAAGATGAATCGCTACAAATTGTGTACAGATATTCATGTCTATAACCCCTTAGCAATCCTTGACTTTTCCTTGAGCGATGATGCTCCCTCTTGTTACAGTTACTAAATCAGCCTACTATCACCTAAAGAATATATCTAGGATTAAAAGACTAATGTCACAGCAGGATTTGGAAAAACTTGTCCATGCTTTTATCTTCAGTAGACTCGACTACTGTAATGGTGTCTTCACAGGTCTCACTAAAACATCTATTAGGAAGCTGCAGCTGATTCAGAACGCCGCTGCTCGAGTCCTCACTAACACTAAGAAAGTGGATCACATCACTCCTGTTCTGAAGTCTTTACACTGGCTTCCTGTGTGTCAAAGAATAGATTTCAAAATACTGCTGCTGGTTTATAAAGCACTGAATGGTTTAGGCCCAAAATACATTTCTGACCTCCTGCTAAATGATGAACCATTCAGATCTCTCAGGTCTTCAGGGACTGGTCAGCTTTCTGTCCCCAGAGTCAGAACTAAACATGGAGAAGCAGCGTTCAGTTATTATGCTCCAAATATCTGGAACAAACTCCCAGAAACCTGCAGGTCCGCTGCAACTCTGACTACTTTTAAATCCAGGCTGAAGACTTTTCTTTTTGTCGCTGCTTTTAATTGAACTATTCATATCTTAAACTGCACTGTAACTTTTATCCATGTACTTTTTCTTTTAATGTTTCTTTTATTAGCTTTTCTTTTTAATGACTGATTTTAAATGCCATTTTCTGAATGTCTTTCGTTTTTTGTAAAGCACTTTGAATTGCCTTGTGTTGAAAGGTGCTATATAAATAAACTTGTGTACAGATATTCATGTCTATAACCCCTTAGCAATCCTTGACTTTTCCTTGAGCGATGATGCTCCCTCTTGTTGACTTTGCCATTTAAAAGTAAACAAAGACGAAGAATAAGCGATCAAATGTTGAAAACGTCACAAAAACTCAATTTAGTACATAATACTTATATGCTAACAACATGCTAAGCTAAGAAGGCGAACATGGTAAATATTCCTGCTAAACCTGCTGACATTAGCTCAAAGCTACACCATGCTAAATAACAGCCTTATAGAGCCTGTATTTGTGCTTGGCTGTAGACTCTTGTGTTTTTCTAAAGTTGCATTTCCCAAGAGTATCTATTACAAAGCCATTCTTTTTCTTCAGTCGTGAAAAGGCCTTTTTTAAATCGTACGCCATCAACATTACTACCATTCAAAGCCCTTATTTGCCGGCTCGGTTTAGTTTGAGCTACCTTTGCTGCCGTGTTCATTTGAAGTGTTTCGGTGCAGGGCATTAACCAAAATGCCAGAGAAGCAATTGTAAAACGTAATGAAAAGCAGGGACGTGAATTATTTTCCAGACAATGCTTCTCTGTTTCTAGAAAGTCCCCACAGGCCATGTTCTCCGGGCATATCTGTCCATGACTGACCTGGGAAATGACCCAAATCTGATCACTGTGATTTGTCTCAGGAAACCGACCCCCACCTTATTCTGCATGTTCACAGTGACGCCTGTGTGCAACCAGCGAAGTGATAAATCCTCTCGACACTCTCACACTGCAGCCCTCCCCCAAAAGCTTCACTTTGGCAGTAAATTCATGTTTCTATTGGAGGAGAAAGGGAGTCTGGCGGAGGGTCAGAATCAGGGTTCTTCTTTCACTCCCCGTTTCCTCCTCCCCTCCCCCGTCTTCAGAGGGTCTGGACGCAGTGACCCCTCGCTAGGTAAGACAACCACCAGATGATCTTAATTAAGCCCGGGCACGTTTAGCGAATGCAGAGGAAGCCACACTGATACTCCAACACCAACACTCAGCAGATGCTAAGAAGAGAAATCCTCAGAGATGTTAACAGCGCTTTCATCAGGCGTTTCAATCTTTGGGAAAGATGTCACAGTGGAGGACAAATCTCTTAAAAGCATAATTGGATCCAGAGGATACAACTCGAACACCGGGGCTGCGAATGTTAAACATCTTGCAGATTCTTGGAGAACAAGAGAGGAAGTGCTGCGTCTCGTAGAATGTCGGTGAATTCAGGGAAAATGCTGAATCATTCGAGTCCCGTGGCACAAATAACAAATGCAGATATTTGAGTTTTTCGTGGGAGACTTTGGCTCTTGATTGCATTTCTGCAGCTAAGAGAAATCACATGGCGATGTAATGCCTCCTCATAACAGAGCAGCCTCGGAGGAGACAGTCTGAGTTTTCTTTTGTGAACGGACCGAGACGCTGCCAAGTATTTGGCCGACGTCCATTCGTGAACAAGGATACACGATTAAAAAACATGTTTGAGTCCTTCCTCTTAATCTGTACTCCAGTGAAAGCAAGTTATGAGCTATGAACTGTCTTCCAGTGTCTTACAGTCAATAAATCAAGTTTTTCCCTTTGAAATATCATTCATATTATTTCCTTTGATGTTTGATTTGAACTCTATTAACAGATATTTGAATAATAATGTGTAGACAACTGTGTCTGTAGTCTGTCGTTAAGGCTATAACACAAATACTTTGAATGCACTTAAAGCCAAATAAAACATCTTGAAATATGACTTTTTTAATATATTTTGAGCTTGTATTTATTGTGGAAGCCATAAGAATCGTTGAATAACATGGAAGCATTCAGAGAAAAGCGTATGGTGTTGCCCATGTGCCAATACCTCCTGATGCGTGATACATCAATCGTGCTAAATCAAAGCTAATCCATAGCACGTCACAGGGTACCTCTATCTGTCTAGAAACAACTTTTTAAGATTGACATCCAGCCTTCCTTTATCTTCTAACTTTGGTGAGTGTCCTAAAAAAAAGGACTTTGAGGAGGTGATGCTACAGTGCAGAGATTGCGTTCACTCATTTACTTAAGAGCCCCTTTAAAACCACTGATAACTCGTGACCTTGTAACCTGACGGGCAACAGAATAAAACATTGAGAACAACCTTGTGGTCTATCCGCCCCAGCACGTGAACAAAGTTAGCATCTAGCGTGTGCACATAGTGAAGCATTTAGCTGCTTAAGATGCAGATATTTCCCTCGACAGTTGATGGAGACCAAAAGGTATAATGGGAGTTAATATTGGTCTTACTTTCACCCCCCCCCCCCCCCCCCCCCTGCCTGAAACGCCACCATTACACTCCTTTGTTTACCTCCTGAACAAAGTGTCATCACTACGTAACACTTGCGCTTCTACTGGCTAGCACTCCAACACATTGTACGTGATAGGCAAAGGGCGGGACATCTCTAAGCGGTTGACCAATCACAACAGCTAACCAATCAGAGCAGACTGGGCTCTGGTTTCAGACAGAGGGTGAAAAGAGGTGCTGCAGCACAGGCAGTATGAGAACAATATTAAAGCGTGTACAAATCTCACGGAAGACAAAATACACATTTGATCCTGAAAATGAATAGAGCTGTTTTAAACAGTAGGGCCATTTGCTGTGGAATAATACTGAGTGTGCTTCCAGTAAGTGCCGGTGTTTACTTTGTCTCTTGAGCCAAGACTGCAACTGCTGCTAATGCTAACCATGCAGCCCTTCTAGCGTTCTTTCCACACTAACCAAAAGCATCAAATGCATCACTTCAGAGGAGGTGTTTCAAATGGCAAACAGAAGAGCTTTCCTCATTATTTCTTTTCAGTCGCAGAAGGAAAAACAATCGAAGCAGCCTCGCAAAGCATGACTGGAGGGTTTTAAGTTTTTGTTTGTTGAATCAGGTAAAGTAATACAACCGTGACTTCCTCTCACCCATAAACAGCCAGCTTGAGGTCAGGGACGCAGATGTTGTCGTCTCCACAATCCAGTTGAATCTGGGCCTGAGAGAGAGAGAAGGACAGACATAAATGGAGGGGAACGAGGGATGAACGAGGCATGGATATGAAGGGGGAAATGGAGAGGAATATCCAGGGTTATTGGGAGAGGGAGAAGCTTTTGAGGAAGTGGATGTTTACAGAAGCCGGCACACCAGATTCATGATTTAATGAAAGGATAAGAGAGGATATAGACTATACATCTCCTCCACATATGAACAAAACTGTACCAATATTTGCAACAACCAGATGCCAGGAGGTTGTGTGGAAGCTGCATCCGTTCATGTTTGGACGGGTAAAAGTAATAAGTGAGCTTTACATGTGGGGAGGGGCAATAGAGAAAACATGGTGAAGGTTCATGGAGAATGAAAGGGACGATGAATTCCATCTAAACAAGCAGTACATCAAAAGCCTCGGTCACAAAGAGTGAAAACCTCACATTTCAAACGGAGAATTGGGCTTGATCTGCATTTTTTTAAATCTGTCGACAGAGGAGTTAAAAACCGCAGCAGAAGATAAATGGGATTGGATTTGGCGGCATTGTCTTTCCCAGTGTTGAAGCTTCAGCTTATTCTCCTTCTCTGTCTCCACTATTTCTCTCATATCGTCATTGTTGCCGTGCCCTCATCTCTCCAACATATGGGAGACATTAGATTCCCAAAGAGCGCAACAGAGAGCAGAGCATCAGCCTGGCAATGGTTAACAGTGTCTCAGCGGAGATTCACATCCAGTGCAGGACTCGCGGGGCTATCGGTCATTTAACACCGAGCACACACTCTCTCTCAGATCAAGTGGTGACTCCCAACGTATCTCCTCTTCAAACCATCCTCATCTTCCTATACGTTTGATCCATGTTTCCCTCCAGCTCTTAAAGGGTCCTGTTGGTCAACTTTGAGGATATGAAATGAGGAAAACAATGGAATGATATGGTATTTGTTAAAGCTGTACAACGGCGTGGAATCAAATGCACGATGCAGAGACAAACAACGTATCAAAATAAAGTGTTTTAATGTAAACAGGTCATAGTATAGGTTAGACAGTTTAATCACTCAATAAACTGTCTAACCTATACTATCAAAAACTAATACAAAAAGACTTACTTAATCTAACTCTCTATGGACAATGACAAATGATCTTAACGCTGGAATGCTTGGAACGCACAAGACAATCTGGCAAGGAGACAGGGGAAGACGAGAACGATATATACTAGACAGGTGAAGACAATTAGACGATCACAACAGCGGGAAAACAGACAAGGCAGGAAATGTACTTTAGACACATGAGGGACTATCAAAATAAAACAGGAACCATCGAAACACAGAACATGAAACCTAAACTAGGGAACAATGTTAGCAGAGCCGTCTACGCACAACAGTATTTCGTAATAAAACCTGTAAAAGGCTTGTAGCGATGTCAGGAAACAAATGAAGGTCCCGAAAAAACGCCTTATATAACAATATCATATTTAATGAAAATGGTCAACTTCTGTGCAGAATGATCCGATCCAAATGATTAACTTTAATAAATACCTTTTACCCTCTCTTCCACACCTTACACAGGAGAACATTATATTCACTGTGAGTGTCGCCAACAAGGTGACCCAACTAATCCAACTCATAATTGATCACAAAATAATAAATAATAATAATATGAACAAATCTAATACTAAAATATGAACAATCGCTTCAGTCGCTTTAAAGAAAACATTGGACCTCATTCAAAAACCACGGGTATAAACAAGTTAGTCCTTTATTGGCACTTACAAGTGATTTAAGATCATTTGTGGCATCCGCTACCAAGGACACCATTTGTGTTATGTTTTTGTTGGTTATTTACAAAAGCGTGACTTCAATCCTTCTTTTTACTCTTTGGTAAAATGTGTATAAATGAAACTCGAACACATACTGAGTAAAACATGTCGCCTACAACGAGCTTAAGACAATTTTAGCGGCGTCGATTACATCTATCAAATCTCCCAAACACCTTATAAGAAGAATTATTGTCAAATAGGACACATAGGGCGACTGTGGCTGCGAGGGGGTGCGGTCATCTTTCAACCAGAAGGTTGTGGGTTCGATCCCAGCCCGTGCAGTCAACATGTCGATGTATCCTTGGGCGAGATACTTAACCCTGAGTTGCTACAGTTGAGTTGGTACACTGCTCTGTATGAGGTCCTAGAGTAAGGTACACTGCTCTGTATGAGGTCCTAGAGTAAGGTACACTGCTCTGTATGAGGTCCTAGAGTAAGGTACACTGCTCTGTATGAATGGGTGTGAATGGGTGAATGCATGTAGTATGTAAAGCGCTTTGAGGGGTCTTAAAGACTGGATAAAGCGCTATATAAGTACAGTCCATTTACCATTCTGACAGAAAAACTAGATTCTACACTGAACTACTTTGATGTGGAGAAATAACAGCATTCGTTGAAAGATGGTTGTATTCATATTAAGTCCACATCTCTCTGGTAAAGCTTCAAACCTAGTGTGTGTGCATTTTGAATCCTGGGCAGAAAAGGCAGACTCAGGAGCCCAGGATGTCCTCTATACCAGTGGTTCTCAAATGGGGGTACGCGGACCCCTAGGGGTACGTTGGAGTACTGCAGGGGGTACGTGAGATTTATTTTCTATGAATGAAAAAAAAAAAAAAATGTTTAGGAAAAGTAAGGAAGTTTGAGCAGTGTGGGTTTTATATTAACAGAGTTACACATATTTCAAAACGCAAAGTGTAATAACTGCAGTGGCCTTCCTGTCACTGAGAATAACAAAGATCCTCAGTGAAGCACAAGCCCATGTTTCTCACTACATTGTAAGTACTTAAAAAGATCAGTTCAATGCAACTAATGTCGTCTCAGTGTTATTGCATGATGTTAAAATTGGTTTGCCATGAATTTAGTGACGGATTGTAAACATTTGAAATGTAGCATTTAAGTGTTTCTCAGTTACAAGGTTGTTGTTTTAATGAATCAGACACTGATGGTGGAGCGCTGTGCTGTACCTCTTTATATAGGCTTTTCTTCCCTAACAAATCGTTTTTGCGCTGATCAGGGGTACTTGGCTGACATTTTCAAAGGGGGTACATTATTGAAAAAAGTTTGAGAATCACTGCTCTATACAATGCAGCACAATGTCCAATACAGAGGACATTGGTCAATGGGCTGGGTGTCATTAGAGGCAATGACTGAACATAAAACACATTACATTGCTATAAGTGGAGGAGCATTAATGGGATTTGACATTATTAAAATCTTACGCAGCATCATGTTAACTTTAGGTGTGGTTAGACGTTGGCCTGTTGCTCTACGACCACACCCAGTAATGACTAACATTGCACTGCAGTCATTACATCACTGCCACAATATTAAAATAACAACTCAAGCAGCAAAACCACACCACTCAGCTGTGGCTCACTTTCTTTAATCCTTTATGTTCTCGACTGATTACGTCTTAATGGGATAGAAAAAGTGAAATGTAGTCTTTTCAAATCTTTGTACATAAGAGACATGAAGCCTAGTGTTGCTCTATGAGTCTTTCTGAGTCTTTCTCAAAGGAGTTCTGTTTGTTGTTTTACGTATTCAGCCTTGAAATAAAGCAATTTTCTACCATTGTCTGTCCTTCAATTGGGTCCTACCTGCTCGGGTCATCATTGACAGAAGAATACAACACAGAAAAACACAGAGATCGTGACACGTCCACAAAATAGCTTTCCCATTCATCGTCTTTTAGGCAATTCCTTAATACTTAATGGCATCACACCTTTGACTTAGCGCTGTTTACACGAGAAGGAAACGGGTTGTATCTGCTACTTTTCTCTCGCGTATAGCCCGTTCGTTCACACGGGGCCATAACCGCGGAAACGGACCCCGCAAACGATAACAGGTCCCAAGGTGGATAGATCTGCAAACGGAACGCTCTGGGGGGCAAACGGCTCAGTGTGTACGCCCTATACGATCATTTCCTGATAACGATGAAGCCATAGTCCCACCTCTCCCCACCTCTGCTGCTCACTGCTGTAGCATGCTCAGTAGCTACTGTCAGTAGCTACTGAGCATGCTACAGATGTTAGTGCAGAATCTACAGCTCCTCTACCACAACCATCAGCAACAAGTGGACATGGAGAATTACATGAACTACATGTTGCTAAATCCACCGCGGGGCATGAACAGAAGGGCAACCATGGCAACCATGCACGGGGGTCTTCTTCGCTGCTTTAGGTGTATTTTGTGGCGGAAGTTACTACGCCACTTACAGGCCCGGCATATGTACTCCAGCGTCTCCAGTGGTCTCGTGTGAACGGACACGTTAAATGAGCCGAATGCGTGTGAACGGAAGACTTTTTTGATAACGAATTCGGTCCGTTTGCGCTCCCGTGTAAATGGGGTCTTGCTTCTCTAGTTTCTGTGTTTGATAGAGAGTAGTTCATGTTCACAAATATTGAAAAAGGTTTCCCAGGACATGTGGAAGTATATGGAAAAGCCCTAATGTGCTTTTTGGGGGATTTCCCTAGGTTTTGGTGCATGTAAATGGTCCCAAAGTTCCCTCCGAAGCAAGTGTCTCTTTCACCGTCAGCACAGGCAGTATGAGAGAAATAAAGAGCTTTTTGAACATTAAAGCATGGAGACATGTAGAGACACTACATACTGACATGAACCTGGAAATTAGTATAATTACATAAGAAGAAGGGAGAACACCAAGGCGTGCATTGTTTAGTGTCCTTAAAGGTTTCAAGGCTGAAAACACTTGGTTGTTTTCTGTTAAAAACAAGTACATGACTGCACACTCACGCACCCACTTTACCTTGTATCACTCACATAAGCATGTGCACGTTTCCAGGCTGTGTCTCTGGTGGAGGAGACCGCTGGCAACATACATAAACAAACCACAACCAGATGTGTGTGAGTGGAGCGCCGCCCAAACCCAGACGGAGCTGTCACTCCTCCCACTGTGTTTCTGCACAGCCATGACTCCTCTATAAACCGTCCAACTCTTCATGGAGGAGAGAAAACACTGATTCCTGAGATATTTCGTATTTTTGTATTTTATTATACATGTTGCATTGTTGGAGGAGGTTCATGCACTCGTCTTCTCAAGACTAGATTACTGCAATGCACTCCTCTCCGGCCAAATCAACCGCCTGCAACTTGTCCAGAACATTACAGCCAGTTCTCACCGGTGCAAAAAGGTCCGCACACATAACCCGCACAACTACACTGGCTCCCAGTCCACTACAGCATCCAGTTTAAGGTTCTGCTCCTGACTTACAAAGCCCTGAATGGACAAAGCCCAAATACCTCTGAGACCTCATCCGTACCCAGACATCTACCCGCTCTCTCCGCTGCAGCCACGCTCCTGTTCTTTACATCCCCCGCACACGTCTCCGGACAGTGGGAGACCGCCTCTGGAACTCCCTCCCAGATCAGCTGAGATCTGCCCCTTCCACCGAGGTCTTCAAAACCGGCCTCAAGACCCTCTTCTTTCGGCAGGCCTTCCAATAAACTTTCAGCATGGTTCACCTGGAGTACTGCCATTGTTATCGCTATCTCAGACGTTTTTGTTTTTGATTTTTTTAATCTCTCAAATGTTTTCAGTGTCCTTTGTTGTGAAGCGCTTCAAGATTTGTCTTGGCAGATGAGAAGCGCTATATCAATTACATGTATTATTATTATTATTATTACTGTAGCTTTGTGCATATGTCAATAAAACCTTTGAATCTTGAATCCTTTACTTGAGTAAAAGTACAACAAATATGATGTTAAAATACTTCATTACAAGTTAATGTACTGATTTCAAAAGTACAAAAGTATAAGCATCAAAATATACTTAAAATGCAAAAAGGAAAAGTAGTAATTTTGCACATAATCAGCTAAATGTACTACAAGAATCAAAAGTAGAAGTATTTATTTTATTAGGGTTAATATATTTGTATATGTTTTATACATAAGAGCATTTTCGTACTAGTTCTAGTTTGTCAATGTGGACCAAATTAAGATACTAGAAATACTGTGATTAGTAGTACAGTACTGCATTATACCATATCAACATATCATGTGTTTTTATATGTAAAAAGTACTTATGGTGAAGTACAAAGTATGATATCTGCCTCTGAAAAGTAGTGGAGTAGAAGTTTAAAGCAGCGTTTTATGGGAATACTCAAGTACAGTACTTAAGGTAGAAAACTTAAGTAAATATACTTAGATACTTTCCATTACTGCCCTCCACCTCTTACCATGTGGGCTTCGGCTCTATAGGGGGCCTTTACGAGTGATGTCAGTTTTAATATGGCCGCCTGTAACCTCAGCCTTCACCATTCAAATAAATCCCCTGCATGCAAACTGTAAACATCAGGACATGTGCTGTGGTGTAGAGGCTGAAGCTAAAGTGTGTGTGAGTGCCGTTTGTTCACGATTTAAAATAGTTTGGGACCGTTTTGTAAAAGAAAGGTAATGACGCCATCTGTTCAGCTCTCTCCTTCCACTGGTGAGCGTTGTGGGGACTCTCTGCTTCGTTCATAACATGCAAGGCGTGCGGAAATACAAGTGCTGTGAGGTTCAGACGCTCAGTGTGGTGATGTAGAATATAGATTCAGTTTATGACTCTACACAGACACACACTCCTTATCTTAGGAAGTTTGGAATTAAGTGCTTCATGGATTATTTTGGATTTCTCAACCTGGATATATTTTTTTAGATGCATTTGTTACGCATCATGTTTAAAAGGGCCCTATTATTCTAATGTTCAGGTTCATATTTGTATTGTGTGTCTCTACTGTGATATGTCTTTAATGTTCAAAAAGCTCTTTATTGTTCTCATCCTGCCTGTGCTGCAGCACCTCTTTTCACCCTCTGTCTGAAACCAGAGCCCAGTCTGCTCTGATTGGTTCGCTGGCCGGCTCTGTTGTGATTGGTCAACCGCTTAGAGATGTCCCGCCCCTTAGCCTTTCATGTACAATGTGTTGGAGCGCTAGCCAAAAGAAGCGCGAGTGTTACTAAGTGATGTCACTATGTGCAGGAAGTAAACAAAGGAGTCCAATGGAGGCGTTTCAGGCGGTATTTGTGGAGAGAAACTTCCTCTGAAGGGAACACAGGGATTTTAGCCTTCTGCAGACCGTTTACATGCACAAAAACCTAGGGAAAAACCCCCAAAAAGCCTAAACTAGAATTTCCATATCATTTTCCATGGCCTGGGAAACCTTTTTCAATATCTGGGAACATGAACTACTCTCTATCAAATACAGAAACTAGAGAAGGAAGTCTCAAAGGTGTGATGCCATTAAGTAAAGCATGGAATTGCCTCATAGACAATAATAATAATCCTTATATTTATTATAGCGCTTTATCAAAGACTCTCAAAGCGCTTTACAAATACACATTACACATACAGATCATACATGTAATGGTCATCTACTGTGGACAATACCCACAGGAGCAAATTCGGGTGAAGTGTCAAGCCCAAGGACACAACGGCCTGACGCAGTGGGGCGGGAGCGGGTTTCGAACTGGAGTTCCCCAACGCCCCCTTGATCTGATGATCAAATGCACAGACCACTGCGCCACCCGTCCCTACAATGAATGGGAAAGCTACTTTGTGGTCAGTTTTCATGTTTTATTTACATGCACAAAAGACCTATAGAACACACCATAGGAAACGGGAAACCCCAAATGCATAATAGGGCCTCTTTAAAAATACTGAAGCTGTCAACTATGCCATGAAATAAACCTTAATGAAATGTATTTTAAAATGTTGGAGCCCCGAATACATGACGTAACGTACTGCGTGACCCTTTTCGTGGCATTGGTTTTACGAGGTACTTTGCATCACGAGTTAATATACATACCTTCTGCTCTATTCGCTGCTCCGTCTCATAATTCAGGATCGGTCTGAGGCCATGCTGGTCCTCCGGGGCCTCGGGATCCAGACTGAAGTTCAGGCTGATGAAAATGGGAGAGAGTTTATCCCGAAACTCCTCTTCCCCCTGCACACAGAGAGAGAGATGCAACCATGTGAGATATTGATGTGAAAAATCGCCAAATGAGTTCTTTTCTGGTGTATTTATATCTAAAAGAAGCAGGAACTTCGGAAAATATGGTTAGAAATGTGTCATCATTTTGGGATTTCCAACATCCTCCTTTAGAAACATTTAGAAGAAAAATATTGATGGATTAAACAAAATCAGAAGCAGATGTTACAGTCACTATTGGCCTATATGTAGTATTAAAGAAACCCTATTGTGCTTTTTGGGGTTTTATCTTTCCTGTGGTGTGTTACTTGTAAGTAGGTTTTTGTTTACTTCCAGAACATAGTGACATCACTGTGGAACACTCTCAGAGGACTCTTTAAAGTAGAGACACTACATACTGATATACACCTGAACATCAGCAGGAGAGGACTCTTTAAAGTAGAGACACTACATACTGATATACACCTGAACATCAGCAGGAGAGGACTCTTTAAAGTAGAGACACTACATACTGATATACACCTGAACATCAGCAGGAGAGGACTCTTTAAAGTAGAGACACTACATACTGATATACACCTGAACATCAGCAGGAGAGGACTCTTTAAAGTAGAGACACTACATGCTGATATACACCTGAACATCAGCAGGAGAGGACTCTTTAAAGTAGAGACACTACATACTGATATACACCTGAACATCAGCAGGAGAGGACTCTTTAAAGTAGAGACACTACATGCTGATATACACCTGAACATCAGCAGGAGAGGACTCTTTAAAGTAGAGACACTACATACTGATATACACCTGCACATCAGCAGGAGAGGACTCTTTAAAGTAGAGACACTACATACTGATATACACCTGAACATCAGCAGGAGAGGACTCTTTAAAGTAGAGACACTACATACTGATATACACCTGAACATCAGCAGGAGAGGACTCTTTAAAGTAGAGACACTACATACTGATATACACCTGAACATCAGCAGGAGAGGACTCTTTAGAGTAGAGACACTATATACTGATATACACCTGAACATCAGCAGGAGAGGACTCTTTAAAGTAGAGACACTACATACTGATATACACCTGAACATCAGCAGGAGAGGACTCTTTAAAGTAGAGACACTACATACTGATATACACCTGAACATCAGCAGGAGAGGACTCTTTAAAGTAGAGACACTACATACTGATATACACCTGAACATCAGCAGGAGAGGACTCTTTAAAGTAGAGACACTACATGCTGATATACACCTGAACTCAGCAGGAGAGGACTCTTTAAAGTAGAGACACTACATACTGATATACACCTGAACATCAGCAGGAGAGGACTCTTTAAAGTAGAGACACTACATACTGATATACACCTGAACATCAGCAGGAGAGGACTCTTTAAAGTAGAGACACTACATACTGATATACACCTGAACATCAGCAGGAGAGGACTCTTTAAAGTAGAGACACTACATACTGATATACACCTGAACATCAGCAGGAGAGGACTCTTTAAAGTAGAGACACTACATACTGATATACACCTGAACATCAGCAGGAGAGAACTCTTTAAAGTAGAGACACTACATACTGATATACACCTGAACATCAGCAGGAGAGGACTCTTTAAAGTAGAGACTCTACATACTGATATACACCTGGACATCAGCAAGAGAGGACTCTTTAAAGTAGAGACACTACATACTGATATACACCTGAACATCAGCAGGAGAGAACTCTTTAAAGTAGAGACACTACATACTGATATACACCTGAACATCAGCAGGAGAGGACTCTTTAAAGTAGAGACACTACATACTGATATACACCTGACATCAGCAGGAGAGGACTCTTTAAAGTAGAGACACTACATACTGATATGCACCTGAACATCAGCAGGAGAGGACTCTTTAAAGTAGAGACACTACATACTGATATACACCTGAACATCAGCAGGAGAGGACTCTTTAAAGTAGAGACACTACCATACTGATATACACCTGAACATCAGCAGGAGAGGACTCTTTAAAGTAGAGACACTACATAACTGATATACACCTGAACATCAGCAGGAGAGGACTCTTTAAAGTAGAGACACTACATACTGATATAACACCTGAACATCAGCAGGAGAGGACTCTTTAAAGTAGAGACACTACATACTGATATACACCTGAACATCAGCAAGAGAGGGACTCTTTAAAGTAGAGACACTACATACTGATATACACCTGAACATCAGCAGGAGAGGACTCTTTAAAGTAGAGACACTACATACTGATATACACCTGAACATCAGCAGGAGAGGACTCTTTAAAGTAGAGACACTACATATTGATATACACCTGAACATCAGCAGGAGAGGACTCCTTTAAAGTAGAGACACTACATATTGATATACACCTGAACATCAGCAGGAGAGGACTCTTTAAAGTAGAGACACTACATATGATATACACCTGAACATCAGCAGGAGAGGACTCTTTAAAGTAGAGACACTACATACTGATATACACCTGAACATCAGCAGGAGAGGACTCTTTAAAGTAGAGACACTACATACTGATATACACCTGAACATCAGCAGGAGAGGGACTCTTTAAAGTAGAGACACTACATACTGATATACACCTGAACATCAGCAGGAGAGGACTCTTTAAAGTAGAGACACTACATACTGATATACACCTGAACATCAGCAGGAGAGGACTCTTTAAAGTAGAGACACTACATAGTGATATACACCTGAACATCAGCAGGAGAGGACTCTTTAAAGTAGAGACACTACATGCTGATATACACCTGAAAATGTGCATAATAGGGCCTTTTTGAATACTGTTTAACCAACAACAATGGCATGGCCCCTTTAAAGGAACACATGGTTTGTAAACATTCTGACAAATGAGGGGATGTTGGTGCATTTCTACTCAAAACATCTCTCATCCCGTCAAAGAGTAAAGTGCTCCGATCATTATGTCGTTACAATGAACGTCTATGACCTAAGTGTTTTTGGCAGGCATTTACTTTGATCAGGTCACCGTTGAGTGATGAGAAGATTGGTACTGTACCGGTTTCACCTCAAATATCACTTCAACCAGCAACTTCAAACCCTGTCTATTAGGAGAGGACTTAAACCTGCCAGTGGGTTAACTACAGTCACCTGGGGCTGCAGGTGCAACACAGCCACTGATTAGATGGGGCCGGGAATAACAAGCGGAACATTTGTGAAAGATAAATAAGGCATTTTGAGAGGCTTGAGATGATTGGCCTGAAAGAAAACTTAAAATAACTTAAAGTTCATGAACAATCTGTCTAGTTTTCAACGTCAGTGCAGTGCATTGCTAAGGCTACACGAAAAGCAATGGGATTTTTCCATTTGATGTGATTTCGTGTCACCATCGCTAGGCTAAAGGTGGCTTATGTTTGGCGTGATGACATTTAGTAGTTTATTTAGTCACTTGTTGGCAACCGCTCTTTAAAGACACATAGAAGCTTCGGACATGCATGTAAGAAGGAGTATTTAATGACATATTTTAAAACAAAGAATCTCTTCAGCTTGTGTTAGACACAGACCTTTTCTTAGGCTTCTAATGTTAGACTTGGAGACTAAAATGTGAACTCATTCTAAACTCATTCCTGCACCACTCTATAGTAGGTTTAAAACATGTCAAAAGAAGCTGGGAGAAGGGGGTTCATATTGTGGGGAAAACCTCAGAATTCTTCAGATAACATTCTTTACCATTTATTTTAGATTGAAGTGGAAAACAAAAAAATATATTTAAAAATCACACTTAAGCGAAGAAAACATCTGAAATTCTCTAAGGTGCTACAATAAGACATTACATATCCCTGAGAGGCAGCTATTTGACTGTGTACATACTGAAGTAGGTTTAACAACATGTCAAAAGAAGCTGGGGGAGGGGCGCCATATTGTGAGGAAAACCTTTTTCAAAAATTGTGTTTGAGGTTTAAGCAAAAACTTAAAATATATTTAAAAATCTCACTTTCGCGAGAACACATCTGAAGTTCTCTAAGGTGCTACAAAAACACATGTTATATCTCATAGAGGAAGCTGTGTGACTGACCCGCAGGTAGATCCTGGTCTCATGGCACGAGCGTTCTCCGTTCTCCAGGCTGAGGGTCTTCAGCAGAAAGGGCTGCTGGCTGTCCAGGAACAAAGTCCTCCTGATGGACTCCTTCTGGCTCAGCTTCACGCTGTCCAGCTGGACCTCCACCACAAAGCCTTGGAGATACACACATATAAAAACACGCAAGGTAAGAATGTAGTGAACATACACTGTAGATCTATATGGCTGTTTATACGCATACAATATATTATACATAAAAAACATGCATATGCAGAGGCACACACATATTTGCGTAAACAGTATATACTCTTTTGGCATTTTACTATTGTCAATACTGGCTGCCAATGGGTGCAATGTTCACTGTTATTCGCAATACACACATTATTTTAATAGAATCTATTCATTTTGTATTACCAAGGATGTCTGCTTATTTGATTTATTATTATTATATATGCAAATGCACACACATATGAAGTGGTAAACGTTCATATAAACCACCGTGCTGTTCACAGAATGAGTGCATTGTTGCAGCCCACGTGACAACAACTATGCAGACAACACACACCGGTGCACTTTAAGTAAACACACACACACTTTTCTAAACTGCTGCAGCCCACCAAGTTACCCTCTGTTTACAGGACTGTTCTTTTATCTTGATCCTAACTGGCAAATTGACCACAGAGAAGTCCAGCATACTTGTGGCTGTGCAAGGAAAGCAAGGTAATAGGGACCATGTGTGTGTGTGTGTGTGTGTGTGTGTGTGTGTGTGTGTGTGTGTGTGTGTGTGTGTGTGTGTGTGTGTGTGTGTGTGTGTGTGTGTGTGTGTGTGTGTGTGTGTGTGTGTGCCTCACCTAGATGAGAGGGGAGGTGCTTCCCATTAGCCAGCAGGCAGAAACCGATGCTGACACTGGAGGTTGAACACAGACAGAAATATGAAGAACAAAAACTTCAACACTAATCTCAGACAGATGTGTTTACACTGATTTGAGGAACTTCTGTATATCCATTTATTTTCATGAAATCAAACCCCACGTTCAATAGTATTTATGCACAAAGGTTTTTCTGGAATTGCCATTCGGTGTATTTACAGACAGTAATTACCTCTCTATGGAGAAGTTACTCACAGGTTTTCAATTAAGACATTTTACATTTTTTTTTTAAATCTGTTAAATGTGTTTGAAATATTCCCATTTTGTCACTAAATCACATTGATTACAAACAGTTTTGGAGGTCACTCGGTCGTAGTTATTGACATTATTTACTACTGCATGGCTCAGGACTAATCATTCATTTGTCAGACTGATTATTAGAGTCGAATACTCGATTCTGATTGGTCAATTTCGACATTCCAGAGGTCTGCTATTTTTTGCTAGGAGAACGTTGCTAAGGAGAGCACACCGTTGCTAAGGAGAGCACACCGTTGCTAAGGAGAGCACACCGTTGCTAAGGAGAGCACACCGTTGCGAAGGAGGACGCTCTAAACAAGGGACTACAGTATGTACAGTCAAATAAAACCAGTAATTATCAGTACAGCGATCTGCTGGATCAAGACTCCTCAAAGTAACCAACGACTACAGTACTTCCTGCTGGTGTTTACAAAACTCCTAGCACTAATGTTGCTGTTACCAAGGGTGTAACCATATCAAACAGGCTAGAAATCTTAATGGTTAAATCTCTTAGTTAGAAATCCTTAAAGTAATCAATGCCTGGAATCTTGTAAACGTTCACAACTCGTTCATTTTGAGGAAAGTGAAATCCCTTTTCGAACCTTTTCAATGTTAATAATAACCACTCTCTCCACCATTTCATCTTTCCATACGACTACTCCACCTTTCTTCCACTTCCTCCTCTCCGCTCCTTTCATCCCCTTTTTGTTACCACAGCAGCAAAAACACCAATAAACACAAAAGACGTACTGGTATTAACCTAAAGGGCAACATGTTAGGTGGTTTGGTAAATGCCTCTTACGTCAGTCTAAAAATGTTCCGGTTAGCGCAACGGTTAAACTGAATTTGTGGAAAGAGCTTCATTAGGATCGAAAGCAGGCTAAAATGTTCCCCTTTTCTTTCACTGGGTCTAAGAATACTGAGTGTGCAGTTCGGAGCGGCTCGAACAGGAAACTGGCATTAGTCATTTGACATTCTGGTGAGGAAAAGTTTGGAAAGCTGAAACTGAACAAAGACGTGTGTTTCAGAACATTGGTAAGACTTCCCATGTTCTGTTATTGTCGAGGAACTCTTAAGCCTCTCTCAAGATCTTTCTTAAATCATTAAAGAAATACTGTGCGCTGGATCAAACGGTGTATAATCGTTAAGTTAAGATTCAAATGGAAAGCTCCACTTGTACATTTTATAGGACATGGCAACCATTTTTAACGTACATGGAAGGTTTGAAACTGTCTACTCTTCCCTAACTGATTCTTCATTTTTTATTTTTTTAAACTGAATTAGAAAACAGATTTAAGTCAACCATGACTAACATTGATCTCGACCTTATGTGTTTTGTTGTTGTTGTTTTTTGTGCTGTGATTTCAACCATCTGTTTGTCTATCATTTTAAAATGTGGTTGTACTATTAATCTTGTCTTATTCTGTTTGGGGGGGGGTTAAAAAAAAATGGACAACCTGCACACATGTTTTTTTTGTCATTGAAACTGTATGTTGTTTTAAAAAAAATTTAAAAAATGATTCAAATGGAAAATAAGGAAAATAGTTGACGTCCATACCATGACACGGTGGTGGTTTCAGTTCCTGTGATCAGCTCACAAGTCTTCTCCTCGTGGTTAAACATGGTCGGCTGCACCGTGAGAGAAGCACTGGCGCTCACTATTGGTCGAGCTCTGATGAAGAGACAGAGAATGAAGCCATTAGAATGAAAAGAAGATACTGTTGTAACTATGCTACAAGTTGTGTTCACATACCTGTATAAAACTGCTTTATCAGCCCCAAAAGCACCAACTATCAGATCTGCAAGAAGGGAAAGTTGCATGAAGATATTAGAGCAGAGGGCAAAGTGTAAAGGGATATATCAGATTCTTTAGTTTAGTGGGGGTAATGATCCACATTCAGTGTATTACATTTGCAGAAATAGTACCAGGATATGAGTAGACGGGGGCATCAAAACATATTTTTTGTTGAGTTAAAGAAAGTCCCACCTCCCAAAATCATACTAAGTTTAAGTGTGTAATATAATTCGTTTTTTTTTACCTTTTTTACCTTGAAGTTAGACAGCCATTTGTGACGGGAACATGTTGCCTTTATCGAGCAGTTTCTGGGTTCTGTGAGGTCAATTCTTGATTTCTTTAAAGAAGCTTTGGTAGCTTTGGTGAGGGCAAAGATGTCCAATATGGCTTCAGTTCCCTGTAGTAAAAGGCTCTCTGACAGCAAGGTTGGGTGTTCAAAATAATCTAAATATAGCCTATACTTATGTTGTATGTGACGGGACTACGGATGGAAATTAGCTCAAAGCTAAAATCCGGCTCATTTACATTTCAAAGCATTACTTTATTTAAAATGTTCATTAATGTGCATTGTCCCGGTTCAATAAACGATTAAATGAAAAATACCTAAACTGATATTGATTTTTTTGAAGTGGCTTGAATCTGTTTTGCTGCTGCTCCCATGCAGACTGATGGAGCCGTGCCAACCGCCTGTAGGCAATACACTGAATATGGATAAGTTAAGTACCTAATTCAACCCCACTTGAACCCCATTGAAAAATCAAAACAATCCATTGCATAAATCATTGATTTCTGCAGTACCTGGATAGCCGTTTTGATCGAGGTCGCTGTTGCCTCGCAGGGAAAAGCCAAAACTTGCTGGGAAAGAGCTGGAAGCCCATTGGCCGGAGAGAGTCTGAGTGGGCGTGTCTATCAGTCCTTCAGCAAAGCCATTATAAATGAGAACCAATCCCTGCTGGTCGTCCCCTCCATAGGGACAGCCGATGGCCATGTCTGTTGGAAATAACATCAACACACGATATTCAGAATTTCATGTTTTCTCAAACTGTATTTACACGGTATATCTCACACACACATCTCCATTTTAGTTGTATGCTGACAATGAAGCTTTTTATAAGCTAGCTACTAAAAATCTAGTGATCTCTCAACTACGACTGCATTCTCAGGTCGCTTATCGAACCGAGGAAGTCTTGGCTAAACTGTTTCAGCCAGCGATTAACCGTTAATTTAGCCTCATCAGGAGGAGGCTGTGGCTCAGTGGGATGGTGCGCCGAACTTATTGTGCTGAACTTTGAATCAGGGGATAGCAAGTTCGAGTCCCACTGCAGTCAGCATGTCGTTGTCCTGTGGGGATTGTCCACAGTACTGAATGTATGTAAGTCGCTTTGGATAAAAGCGTCTAACAAGTGACATGTAATGCAATTTTTGACTGGTAGTCAAGATTACTTGCTATTGAGATGTTGACATTTTAAAATGTTTATTTCTAGTCTTTTACTTTGAATGTCTTTTTATGCTTCTACAACACAAACATTTCCCAACTTGGGATCAATAAAGTACTTCTTATCTTATCCTATTAGGGTAGGTTGGTTGGGCCATTAAAAAAGTCCCTGATTATTTTATGGTGTTTTTATATAACATTATTTTTGGTTTATGGTGATTAACTTCTTCATATGTAGCAGACCTACCGTTGAATCCGTCCTGGTTGAGATCCCCCAGCGGAGCCAGCGAGGTGCCGAAGCGACTGAAGGCCTGTTGACCAATCAGATGGCTCGGCTCCAGCATCAGAGGGGCTCTCTGCAGGTAAACATACACCTTCCCCAGCTCCTCCAGACGACCATCGGACCCTCGACGCATGAACATCGGAGCGCCCACTATCAGGTCATCCAAACTGGGAAGACAAAGGGAAGAGAGATTAAGACTTGGGCAGATATCCAAACTGGCAACAGTAATAAGTGATTAACATTTGAGAATATCAGCTTAAACATACTTTAAGGAGTTGTTCACTGGTTGAGCAATCTCAATGTAATACTGACTTTTAAATCCAGGCTGAAGACTTTCTTTTTGCCGCTACTTTTAATTGAACTATTCACATCTTACGCTGCACTGTAACTATTATTCATGTACCTTTGTATTCATGTTTATCTTTGCTTTTTAATGTTATGCTAAAAAGTGCTATATAAATAAATGTGCCTCGATGATTCACTATGACCTACTTAAGAACCCCAGAGAGAAAAATGGCAATTTCTATATTATAATCTTTCTTAATGTCACCATGTCCGATTCTCTGCTAAATGATAAAAAAGATTTACAGCACTTGCATCGTAAGTGTTTACATTTACAAAGGCAAAGTTAAACAGTAATGTGTTAGCCAGTTAAAAGGAAGCACAGGGATATTTGTCTTCAGAGAATTGTATGTCTTCATGTTTTGTTTTCATTGCGGATCCTAAAGTAGGAAATAAAAAGGAACTGTGATTGAGCCCCGACAAAAACAACCACGGTCAATAATTTGATAACTTTCCGGATATGTAAGGATTCAAAATTACTACAAGATCCTGCTTTGCCCTTTTTACTTATTCAGGGTATATGCAGGAATCCTGAAGTCAAATGTAAAACCTTTTAAAACCTTTTTTAAGACCCTTTCCATACATTTTAAGACCTCATCGCCACTGAGTTTTAACCTGTAACCTTGGCGACACACTTTACCTCACATTGACTATATACAGTATTGATTGTCCTTCCTCCTTATCTTCCAACCATTTGGACGCAGACTTGCATTTCCCCATGACGATGTTGCTTAGCAACCGGCGTAAACGGGCCTTCGCGCTATCAAGCAGTGAGCGTGCGATGTCCTGTTCAGATGACGTCACACCCAACGGGATGCCATCAATAAACTACACAGAATCACACTACACACCTACGCCATGATTACATTCAGGCACACTGTAGAACACAACCTCTTTGGACCATTGATATACTTATTGAAAACAAGCTACAAAATGTAATACCTTGGAAAATACCGTTTAATACTTTTTAATAGCCTTCATTTTCGCTAAATTGATTTATCAACTTTTAATACTTTTTAAGACCCCGCGGACACCCTGTTATTGACTAAGTATGTGGTTTTACAGCAATGTCGTTGGTGGCTAAAACAAAGCTAGCTAAAGCTTTGGCTAGCTTGAGTTGAATGTAGCTAACATTAGCCGCATTTGTTGAGCAACGGAAGAACCAGCAAAGCTTTCTGTGATTGTTTGTGCTGCTCTGCATTCTGAAATAATTTTAAAAGTATTAAAATAAGCAGTTTTTCTAATTAACTCGCTTCCAAAACAAGTGTGCAAGTTAGCGTACTTTAAAACACACTAAGAATAAGTCCTGACTGATGATATAGAATAGTGAACAGTGATTTTGGGGAAGTGAAATCAACAAAAGGAGAACTTTGGGTATTTTCAGAAAAGTTCATGACACATTGGAGTGACAGGGTGACTGAGCATGAGCTTCAGTTTCAGTGACCTCATCTTTGCCCTTACACTTATTTCCCCCATTTTGATCTCTATTTCGACAGTTTTTACCATCGTCTGTCCCACCGTCACCCTAGCCAAATAAAGGTTCATCTTCGTCTTAGTTTGATCTCAAAATAGTAAAGAAAACAGAACTAAAAAGTGAAAGATATACATCTGTAGACTGTCTGTCAGATAAACACTATGAAGGGACAAAATACAGCTAACACAAATTCAAAGTAGGATTTTAAAGGTCCCCTATTATACTGTTTCTCATCAATATGTCACAGGTCTCAGATATATACAGAGCCCGTCTCTGATTGGCTGAAACACCAAACAGATCTTTGCAGCATCCCATAATCCCCTCTGTTTCAGCCCTGTTTCCAAAGTGCTGATTCTCTGTCTGTTACTTTAGATGAAAATAAGGAGCCCCTCCCCACGCCCCTCTGAGAGAGATTTGGTTACAAAGACCTCAATAGGCGCTTTCACACCAAGTACTTTGCCGTACTTAGTTCATCAGAACTCTTTAGTTCTCATGAACTAAGTACAGATCGCGTTCACACCGGAATAAGTCCCTGGGGAGGATTACGGCCCGTCTACACTACAGGCATCGAAAAAGCTTGAAGCTGGGCGTGTCTGAAGCTTGGCGATTTTTTGCGAGCAACGCGACCAACAACCAATCACATGAATCTCCCGCCCCCGGCATACAAAGCAATAGCAATGTTAAAACGAAGTAAACTGGATATAAACTCCCCAAACAGGCGAAAACCTACCAGTTTCACCCACTGTCTCTGCCACCTCCCCCATGCCTGGCTCCTCCGGTTTGTATCCCGGTAAATAGTTCTGGTCGTAAAGAACCGGGTGATTTGCTACCGTAATTTCTCGTTTGGAATATGAGGAAATGAACTGCGGTCTGGCTCTCCCAGCTTGCACGCAGTTTGATTGGCTAGCGCTTGTACTGGCGGGAATTGCAAAAACAGGATTTGATTGGCTGACGCCAGCTTCGAGCAAGCATCGAGCCTCAAAAGTTGAACATTGTTCAACTTTTGACGCAGAAACGCCTTGCCATGCTACCCACAATGCAGTTCGGCGAAGTTTGAAAATATCCTACATCACCCCATTCAAATGAATGGGCGAAGCGTTGAAAGCATTTTTTGACGCCTGTAGTGTAGACGGGCCGTTAGGCAAATGAAGCCGCTGACGTCACTTCTTCTTCTTCTGCTTTGGGTTTACTGGCAGGCCGCAAACCACTTCACGGCGTATACTGCCGCCCGGAGTCCCCGGCCGGAAGTCCCCGGAGTTGGGGAAGGCTTCAGTAGAAGCTGCTGGGACTCCCAGCAACTTCTACTGAAGCCTTCCGAGTAAATCGCCAGAACGCCGACACCTCCTCATCTCCACCACTCCCATGTTTTCTTTTGTGTTGCCAAGTTATTCTCTTTCCGTTGGTGTGCTGGGCTAATGCTAATAATGCTAATGCGAGGAAAATAAAATGGCGGCTTCACAAAACGTTTTGAGGGGACACATGTTGATGTAGAAAAGACATGAAAAAGTGGATTTTGCATAATAGGTGACTTTAAAAATGTTGTTAATTTTGTCTCCAGTATACATGAGCCATCCACTCACCCGTCGTTGTTGATGTCGGTCGCTGCCACTGCGTATCCGAAGTAAGACCCCATCTGGAACGCATTACAAACAAGACCAAGTTAGCCTGTAATCACACCACGGTGCACAGATCCCTTTCTTTTTCTTTCATTTTCTTTCTCCATGCCCTTTTTTCCTCTTTTGTACTCTCCTTCACCGGCCCCAGAAGCTTTCCTCTTCAATCTCTCAATCCCAAAATCCCCTGGGGTCTCCTCTTCTCTCCCTTTTCATGGAGCTCAGTGTTCGAGCTTCTGTAAGAGGTAGGGGGTCCTGGGATCAGGAACTCAAACCCCTTTAAAACTCACTCGGAGTAATACACATGGGCCTTGGGTTTTTCCGGTTACATTTCATACCATATATGATAAATTAGGGTCAGGTTATTAGCGAGTATTGTTTCAAAGTGATATGTACACAGAGATTGGAGACCCTTGTGAAAAATGAGACAAAATATCAGGGTTGTCTTCCTGTACCACACATGCAGAACAGCTCATATTCACATAAATCAAACTAATGATCTGGACAAAGTTCCGATTCATTGCGATATCCCGTAAGAAGCTTTGCCAGATAGATTTACACTCTTAATAATATGATCTCCGCTTCCTGTAGAGCTGAACCACAGGGATTGTTTACCTGACCTGAAGTGATATCAGGGAGCCTAGAAATAACATGAAATATATTAAGGAAGTAACTTATATTTCCGTAGTAAATAGTGGTTAAGCCCAACATTGACATATTATCACCTTTAGGTTGATATGGTGAACAAAGGTAGATGCAGATACAGATACAAAACTATGTATGTCCATTACCCCTTCCGCTTTGTTGTTGTTTTGTTTTAGTATTATAAAAATATATCTTATGGCCACTTATAGTAGTTTTATCTAAAGGACTCAAGGAATAAATCACCTGTTACCTCAAGAAATGCTTTTTTTAAACTAATACCAATGCTGCATTTCTTCTGCATAGAGAAGCTTGGCTCTAACCAATTAGACCTGCTTTTTTTTATATATTTCCAGACGTTGTTGATAGTGCTTTTTAGGAACCATCTCAGTTGGGGTTCCAAGTAAGTTGCATAAAATAAGTTGAAACTCTGCAGACCAGTATCAGCGAGGATTGTCACAAAAGCTAGACCTGCACAAAACCATCCTGCGCCGATGAAGCCAAGCTAACGTCAAACTGCAACCACAACTTTTTTATCGCTTAACTCAAGTTCTCAAAATGGCAAGCCCCCAAAACTACGCTCTGCAAAGACTTTCTGCTGTTTGGATTCCATTGAAAGGATCCAGCGAGTCTTGCATTTAAGATTATCTTGCGGTAGTTTGAAACTGGCGATCCTAAGGCTATGATTTGGTGGTACTGATCAAAGAAATGAATGTATAATTGTATAATATGATTAAATTGACATGCATTTTAACAAAGAAGAAATTCAATACTTAAAATCAAGATACTGAAAATCATAAGCGATCAAAACTCCAAGCCAATAAAACCAGAACAGTCCGACTTCTTCAACAACAGTGGTCAGATACCTCTAGAGATCTCAAGTGAAAAACTACTTTGGTAAAAACAGCATGGTCCCTGAGGCATGACACATTGTTCTGTGATTTGGAAACACAAATTGTTTTTGTATGCCAATGATACTTGGCTGTACAGAAGAAATATTGTTTACTGGCTTAAAAAAATACAAGATTTAAGGTTTCATTCACCAAACAACAGGGGCCTCTTTCACAAAGACCCTCTGGGGTGTTTTTTGCAGCTGACTACACAGAGAGCAGAGAGTCCATTAGTTTACCTCTGAACTCTCGCTATGACTTAACAGTTTACTCAGCGCTTTGAGACTGACACCTCTGAGCTGATGACCTCCCACACTGAACACACACAGACACACACACACACACCATGTATACATCACTTCAGGGGACATTACATTAACTTAGATGCATTTCCTGGAGACTTATCCTAACCATAACCAACACATGCCTAACCCTAACCCTAATCCTAAACCTAAATCTAACCAGGTCTTCACCCTAAAATTAATGATCCCCCTTATGGGGACCTCCAATTTGTCCCCATAAGGGAGGCGAGTCCCCACACGTGACTGTGTAAACAGATTTAGGTCCCCACAAGTATAGTAATGCTAGGCAACACACACACACACACACACACTTTCTCATGTGTCTGGGATCACATTCTCTATCTTCTTACTGTGTTAAATTACACAATAAAGTCACCAGTAAATCAGTTGTTAGCATGTCCAGATAGTTTTGCATGTTTTTCAGTTTTGTTTTGCGTAATCGTTCCTCCTTTCGATGCCAAAACAGTTCCCAAAGCGACTTCATTTCAGTTCTACGCAAGAAGAAATTCCAAAGTTGATCAAAGGTTTCATTTATTCTGCAACCACAGTTACAGTAGTCTGAGTCAGACAAACCATGAGGGTAGCTTTGAAAAATACAGCCTCTTTAGTGCCAAGTTCCCACTGTATGTTTTCGCCAATTCAGTAAGGAAGTACAGTTTCCATCCATCAGTTTCTTTGTGCATTTGCAATTGAAAATATGAGTGGATTTAAAAAAAAACTTGAAACGCACTTGCCTGAGAAGTAAAAGATGGTATATAACGATACATATATAAAGGAAACAATTGTAACCTAAACTTAGCTAATAAATCCTTTGCGTAGATGAAGCAAATTAGTTTCATGCCCACTATTTGGAACACGGAAATAAAAGTGACGTTTTCAATACGTGCCTCTCTCCTTTCAATGGAGAAAGCCTAGTTTCAGCTGAACTTTAGAAAGCCATTTTTTGTTACAGTGTAGGAGTAAGGGACATTTTGTTTTTTTAAATAACACATCTTCTGGTTATATTTTAAGAACTATGACTAACAGCTCAGCGAGTGACTCAACCACACTACACAGGGTTCATACACTTTTTCACCAATGACTTTCAATGACTTTTCAATGACTTCTCCATGACCTTTACCTAATTTTCCATGACCAATAACATTACTCTTTCTCAGCGGTACCACTGAAAATTGTTTATTTTAACATGGAACAGGAAAATAACTTCTGCATCTAAAACATGTTGTGCCTATCTAAAACAAATCAAATAGTAGGCTTACTAGCTTCTACACGTTAAAGCAACTCAAATCTCTCACCAGCAAAACACCTCGTCAGTTAAATGCCATTTTACGTTTCATTACTATACGATACAGTATTTATTATCGTTATAGAATTACTATTTCGGCGATTAGATAAAATATAAATTATATATGATGCAACTTTAGTTACATTTCCATGACTTTTCCAAAACTTTGGGAAAAATATTGTTTTCCATAACTTTTCCAGGGCCTGGAATTAGCATTTTGAATTTCCATGACTTTTCCAGGTTTTTAATGACCGTAAGAAGAACCCTGACTACAGGACTTCCTGATTTAAAAAGCACATGCTCAATCAATGCAGTGACAACATGAACACTAGTCTGCTCGGCTGTTTCTGGGTTTGGGTTACAGATTTTTAGGAACCTTGAGCTGCATACTGTAAGCTCAAACTCTGACCCTCTCCACAGGGCACATTCCTTCTCCAGCCCTCCAGCCAATTTAAACGTGTACCCACATAATAAAATGGGGCTATATTACAGAAAGTCTCCAGCCACATGTGCACATACCTGCTCTCCTGTCAAGTTGAGCAGAGACTTCAGGTCCTTTCCATTCAATATGGACACCTAGTGCGACGGAAAACATAGATTATTAAGGTATACTGCATGTTTATACTTTTAAATGTGGTTTTTTTCTGTTAAATCGAGATTCCTTACTACACCATAGAGCATGAGTCCTTTAGGAACTCCTGTGATGAAATCTGCATCAAGGAAAGCAAAGGTTAGGAGATTTCAAAACAACACTGATGACAAAAACACTACATTTACCAAGTATATTTGTCTTATATCTAGTCAGAATATCTCTCTACACTTGCTATAAGACACAATAACTTCACAAGTAACAATGCAGTGAGATATCGGGTGTTTTGAAACTTATTTTTGTTCACATATTTATTGGAAAATCACCAACTAACATCAGAAAACAGAAAACGTTTGAGCATTTGCGGCTTATTTTGTAACACAACATTTCCTGATTCTGGTCAAATATAGTTCAAAATAAGTTTCCCCAGCTCATTTATCTAGATATCCCATCTTACCAAGCACATTTTCACTTATTCTATTGGCAGATATGTGTACTTATTTCAAGTGAAAACACCTTGTTTTTGCATTGTTTCCAGTGCAATGAACAAAGACATCTCATGAGGTTTGTTTGTATTTTATTCCCCTCTAATTGTTCCTGCTTCCAGAAAGACTTAATAATCCCTTTCCACTCAATCACGTGTGTCAAGGCTGAGCAGTTAGACATTCGACAGAGTTTGACCCTGTAGTCAGCCATGCATGTTGTCTCTCTGTACTGTAAACATGACCCTCACCTTCCTCATCATCCCCACTGAACTCGCCACCAGCCACAGAGTAACCTGCAGGAGGAACAAAGATTAAAGACATTGAGAATGAGAGCAAACAGCTGTGGTTGGAAGTGGTGAATAACATTAAAAAGGTTTCATAACATCAACTGTTTTATTGTGTGGGTTATAAGAAGTTTTAACAACACGTAGCTATAGTATATTTTTGTTTAATGATGTTAGATTAGCAAACTAATTGCTCTTTTTTAAATAAGTCTTAAAGCTAGCTTCAGCGAGCTAACCACGCAGCACAGATTACACCCACTAAAGAACGATAGCAATTTACATTTGAATCTCCAAAAGGTCAATCATGACAGGTCTTTTGCTTGTTTATAATTATGGTACGTTGCAATCTCCCCATAGACACACATCTCCCAGCTAGAGATAGAGGTTTTAGTCTTTCTGGTTACTAGTCAAATAAATAGCCTTCACACATTGTTGTTGTCCGTCATGTAGCGCATGTAGCATCATTTGTTTACATCAACTGACAGTTTTAAATAAGTCATATTTAAATTTGGATATCTTACAAAGTCTATGTGTACTTAATTTACAATTGACTTCATGCTTTGCAAAACCTGGTGCCTTTCCAGAATATGCAACACACTGCTAACAGTTCAGTCAGATATTAGCGCGTCTAAGCTAGTAGCGGCTAATGTAGCAAAGAGCTGCTAGCTTCAAGCAGAAAGGCGCCTGATACAGACATCTGGCAAAGCTCACTTCTTTCTTACTCTAAATCCTAACTTCCAGCGATTGAGTTGCATTATATTATCCAAAAAGGAACTAGCAAAAGTAGCTCTGGATGTTTTTCTGGCCACTTTTTAGACAAACACGTATTGGCTTTCTTCAATTTTCTGATTACAAAGTTGACAATGTGACATGAGGTTGCGGTTAGAGGAATGTTTTATCGTATAAACCACAAATTGTCTCGTAAGCAGCTAGCATGCTTAAGCGCTACTTCTATTCTACAAGGTAGCTGTGGATTGTTGGTTTGGTCACTTTTTAAACTGGTCTTTCCATCCTTATTATGAACTCCTTATTGATGAGTGAGACCGCTTTCCTTTGCGCTGAGTAAAGACAACAGCAAAAAACGAATCTAATTGTAAATGGTGTCAGTAATACTATTATAACTGAAGCAAACTTGATAGAAAATAAACCTAGCATTTTTTGTAAAGAGAATAACTAAATGCAAATGTTAAGGCTGATATGTTGAGAAAAGGTTTCCCTCAATAGGCACTATTTTATTGGAGTGCAATGCTAAATCAATGCGGTACTCACACGACCAAAACCTATAAAACTATATATAAATATTCCTCAGCCATCTGGAAGGGGGTTGGGGAACGATCAGAAACCCGACAGCATTCCCCTAAACTGTGGCCTTAAACTCCAGGCCCCAGTTTGAACATTTGGAAGAAGTTAATGACGGCAAAATGTGTGTCCTGAGGCCAGCACCAGTCACAGTCACGTTTACGCTGCTATGGACCGTTTTGCACTCTTCTTTTTTATATATATCCTTGCTTACTTGAAGTAAACGGTTATTTTGTGTTTTTATTGTAAATTATTGAGTCTTCTTGCATTTTAATGTGTGAGTTTTTGTATACCTCATGACTATGGGAAACAGTATTTCGATCTTTCTGTGGATACAAACATATTTTGAGATTGACAATAAAGTTGACTTTTTGACTCTAAAGAAAAGGGTCATCAAGTTGAAGTAATCAGAAGCTTACTGTATATCCCCTTGGGAGTATTATTGTGCTCAATCTATGTAATGGTGATCTTCCCATTAGATGATGACCTACAGTATCTGCAGTCAGGTCATGAGTCATGCTTTCACTGATATTTTTGGCTTGATTGCAAAACAAGAGGAAAGGTCAAGAAAGTCCAACTGCTGTTTTCCAGTTTTTCCAAGTACAAAGTTGACAATTTGCAACGAGGTTGGTGGAAAGACTTCTTCCTCTAGGGCACATGTGTCAAACTCAAGGCCCGGGTGCCAAATCCGGCCCGTGGTGGATTTAATTTCGGCCCGCAGGATAATTTCTAATTACTATTAGATCTGGCCCGCCGGTATATTGCACGCACACCTTCACTCCATCCTGAGGGTCTCCTCATCTCAGAGCCTGAGCCCAAACATTGATGACCCTGCACCCAAGATGAGATGCCGAGTATCTGAGCTAGCATCACAGAGCAGCACACTGAGTTTAATGGATGTTTCCTTCTGCACTTTCTCTCTCAGGACAACAGGGCATGTTTGGTTTTCTCTTTGAGGGAAATAGTTTTGTTGAAGCTGTTGTCGGCCTGTGGAAAAATGTACTCATAAGAAATGACTCTGGAAAAGCTGCAGATAGAGCCATGAGAAATGAATGCAACTGATTATTTAATGTTTCATGTTGTTTTTAAAGGCAATAACTTAAGTTTTGTTAGTTCCAGGTTTAATATGTGCAATAAGTTCATTTCAATACGTTATGCAATAAACATTGAACCAGTCCGGCCCTCGATTAGTACCCATTTTTTTATTTTGGCCCATTGTGTATTTGAGTTTGACCCCCCTGCTCTAGGGAGTATGAATGTGATAAGAGAACTTTAGAAGGATATTCAGTTCGATTTAATTTCAATGTTAGAATTAGAGGTTCTAATTACCTGCAGTCTGAAATGAAAAACTCAATCATTTGTTTTTAAGGTGATGGTTTTTTCCTTGACTTACCAAGGTCCTGGTCAAAATGTTGACCTCATGGTGGTGTTAGACAAAAGGTCAGAGGGTTTCTAACACCACCAATATTAACCTTTGGGAACCATGAATATCCCAACCTCAAATGTCATTCTGCTTTAAATGTTAATACAAAAAAAACAACCAACTTAAGTCATAAGTTCTTGCTGCTGGCAGGTGTTAAAATGTACAGCAGCACTAAAAGAAGACTATCCAATATTCCAAAACACCATTAGCCAGAAACATTTCCCCTTGGACCATTCAAACACACTGGCCTGCCTTCCCTCTTATTGGCTACTTGTTGTTGGTTAGTTGGATTGGTTAGGCTTAGACTTGAGGAGTGAGTGTGAGAATCACTAAGCCAATCAGAGGCCCCATCATTCTGCATAATAATGAGCCATGTTCTTCTGTTTGTTCTCGGGATGGTGAACATTTTGGAGCATTGAGCCTTAGGAACAACGGTCATTTGTTTTGGGGATAAATGGCTGTTGGGCTTTCGATCCAATGGGCCATGTTTGGGTTAGCATGCTACCTGATAAACGTAATTGTTGCAGTCTGACAATAGAAGCATAAATAGTGTTTGTAATGTCAGTCGTACTACTGTTAGGTAGTTATTAATACATGTGAGGGCAACTGTGGCTGCTAGGGAGTGCGGTCGTCTTTCAACCACAGCCAGTGCAGTCAACTTGTCGATGTATCCTTGGGCAAGTTACTTAAACTTGAGTTGCTCCCGAAGGCCAACGGTGTGTGTGTGTGTGTGTGTGTGTGTGTGTGTGTGTGTGTGTGTGTGTGTGTGTGTGTGTGTGAGTTCCTACTTCCTACTTCCTACTTGCTTCCTAGAGCAAGTGGTACTGCTCTGTATGAATGAGGTGTGAAAGGATGAATGAGTACATGTAGTATGTTGAGCGCTTTGAGGGGTCGCAAAGACTGGATAAAGCGCTATAAGTGCACTCCATTTACCATTTACATGTATTTGACTCAAGTGTACTTCCTCACCCAGGTAACTGTCGTCGTAGTTCCCCTGCGCCTGTCGGGTCTGAATCTGTCCGGCGACAGACAGTAGAAAGTATGAAGGGTAGTAGGCCTTCACAATCTCCTCTGTGGTGGCTGAGATCAGCTGGCCTGTGGGATGATTGGTTGACAAAGGGTTAAAGGTCAGGGGTTAAAATAAGACATGTGACTTTTGAACTCTTGCTCCTGAACTAAAGCTTGTTTAAAGACAAAGGCATTGATTTTATGAATCTTTTGAAAGAAAAATCCATGCTGTTTCACATTCTTTGGAGCTCACCTTGCCAGTAAAAACTGCCTGGTCCTCCGAGCACAACCCTCCCGTCCTGAAACACACAACAGTTACATCATGAGTGTCAAACAAACTCTACAAATCTGATGTAAACAGCATAATCTCCACTGCTTACTTCAATCAGAGCAGATTAGCTATTTGTTGGATTATGGGGGAAGCGGGCAAAAAGTCCAACAAATGTTTATCTTACCTTGGTGAAGTCTGCACTAAATCCACCTTGACAAAAGCCCTGTCCAACAGGTCCATGTCTTTCTGCAATGCACAGCATCAAACATGGGACACTTAACATAACATTTAATACACATTTATAGACATACACAAAAAAACTAAACAATCTGCTGTGTTGAGAGCGGAAAGACAAAAGAACAAACCACAACAAAAGTCAAAGTTCAGGGAAGATTTGTAGCTTTTACTTTATCTCGTGACTGTTTTAACTATCTGGTTTAGTCAATACGTTTAAAGAGTTGACCTGAATTGTAGACAGCAACTTTTATAATATATACAGGTAGCGATATACAGAATATTTAGCACAAACATATTTATACAAACTGTAAAAATGGTAGAAAACAAGTTAAAAAGAGAATAGAAGTAGAACTTTTAAGGTTTTTTCTTCTATAAGTGCACAGGCTTTCAACAAATATTTGCACTCTCTTCTCTATCCACTCATATGGATAGTATCAGTGTTCTGGGAGTATAACAACTGTGTGGTTGGGACATTCCCGACCTTAGTACTCTGTATATGCGAGAGAGAGTACAACCTCTAATTTACTTACTTTGATTTGGGCGATAATCTTGCTCTAAGTTATTGAATGATTTGGGGAATTTAGGGCTGTAAACAGGAAGTCAAATGTCGCCATGGACTCACTTAGCTTTGCAAACCAACGTTTTTTTAGCCTACATTTGTTAACAGTCATACAAGTACAAGTATGTTGAATAAGCGCTTAGCAATACCTGTTTGCAATGCACCCAGGTACAAACAACTATCACTGGATTACTTTGGCATTGACGAAAACTTCTCTCCGACCTCTGCAGCTCATCCAGAATGCAGCGGCTCGTCTGGTCTTCAACCTTCCTAAATTCTCCCACACCACTCCGCTCCTCCGCTCCCTTCACTGGCTTCCGGTAACTGCTAGAATCCACTTCAAGACACTGGTACTTGCTTACCATGCTGCGAATGGATCTGGCCCTTCCTACATCCAGGACATGGTTAAACCGTACACCCCAGCGCGTGCACTACGCTCTGCATCAGCCAAACGACTCGTTGCGCCCTCGCTGCGAGGGGGACCCAAGTTCCCAACAGCAAAAACACGTAGGTTTGCTGTCCTGGCTCCAAAATGGTGGAATGAGCTCCCCATTGACATCAGGACAGCAGATAGCTTACACACCTTCCGGCGCAGACTGAAAACTCATCTCTTTCGACTCCACTTCGAGCGATAGAACTATTAACAAAGCACTTTTATACTAATAAAGGACTGGCTTATCTAAAGCCAGTTGAGTAGCACTTGAAATGTGTTATCTCTATGAAACCTGATGTACTTATATGATTCTGTTTTCTTCAAGTTTGTATTTTGTTGGTCGAACGCACTTATTGTAAGTCGCTTTGGATAAAAGCGTCAGCTAAATGCAATGTAATGTAATGTAATGTAATGTAATGTAACGAAAACTTAAAATCTTAAGTAATACAGGATTTTAAAGGGGGCTTTCTTAATCTGGCAGAGCTAGTGTTAGGGCTGCTACATTTGGCATCTCCCCTCTGTAACTTTGGCCAGGATGGTCATTATCTCAACAAACTCACACTGGTGTTTGTTATTCTCCTCTAGTTCAAGCAAACAAAAGCATTTTACTCTGAGCAGATGAAATGTTAAAGATAATTTATGGACGTATATTCGCAAAGGACATCAGGGAATGCTTTCCTCGGGGTAAGGGTTAGGGTTGTTATCGTATCTGTTTGTGTTATGAATCCAGAGTCAGATCTGAGTCAAACACAGACCTGTCCATTTCACTTTGCATTTTCTTTACATCACGTCTAATTTCTTGAAGACCAAAACAGAGCTAAAAGAAGATATTTACAAGGTGGAAAGACACAGACTAAACACTGAATACTAATGTCGCTTTTGGACTAAGGTAAACTACACTTGCCTCTCTGAAGGGTCGCAGAAACTCACCTGTTCGGCACGGTGCGTACTCAACAAAAGTTTTCAGACTGTCCACAGAGAGGTAGCAGGTTCCTGTGACATCAGCGAAGGGTTCGTCATGTTCGGTTCTCCAGTAGTACCGGGGAGCACAAGCCTGGCAAACATATAGAGAGAAACCTCTCAATGACATCCTGACCTTCTCCCTAAAACATCACTTATGCAATCAAAGCTTATCCACTGTAACTACACCCAGATCGTCTGTTAAGCTTTTAGAGCCCTTGAAATTTGGAAACTAGTAAAACGGTACTCGATGGACATAAAAGATTGGAGGGTGGGCTCGTTTTCTTGGTAGAAATACAAAAGCAGCTGCAAGTTACGGAGGAAACAATGTGTGCTGTGAGGAATCTACTTCCATGGCCACAGGGTTACATTATATGAGCCATATGGAGTTTGTGGAATAACAGGTTGTTAGGAATAGCTGGGGAATGTCTCAAATGTTTACTACGCATTAAGCAGCAGCTGTGTACTGCTTTGCATTTCATGTGCAGTAATATATTTGATTTTATTTGCCATACTCATGGTTTAGTGCTCACCCTTCCTCCTTATAAAAGTGCAGCATATTGCTTCAAAATGCCATAAACTGGGACAACCTTTAAACTGTGTTAGTATCTGAACTATGGTTATGGTACCAACTAGTGTACCCTGCAATATAAGATCAACACTGCCTCCTATTTTCAATGTCTTCTACATTAATTAACAATGCTAACTTGTTGCCTGGGACCTATTTGTGTTGCTGTTTTTGATTCCAACTAAATTGGATAACATGAATATAGCTATTGTTACTGTTAGCATTCAGCGTTCACTAACTCTCTGTATAAAAGCTAATGGAAAGTTCATTACAAACCTTTTAACATTATATGGAAACTGACAATATAGTTTACCTATGTTTACCATTTTTAAATCATTGAGGGAACATTCTGCAACCTTGTCTGAAGAGTACATCGAGCTAACCCACATGGAGTTCCTATTACAAAATCCCCAAAATACAATTCAATTTACCCTTCTGCACTACTGTGGACACTTTTGGACTTTACATTTTGAGTATTGGGATTGTTTTGGTAAGAGTATTATATTTAGAAAGTTGAACATTATCTTTTATTATAAGTCTATGTAAACTTTGTAGCTAAAATGTACATTTTTCGAACATTGGCATTATGTAAAGGTCTAACAATCAAAATGTGATGATCAGTGCTAAAAAGTAACTCATTGAATAATGTCAAAATGTAGTATTTTTATGGAAATTGAAGGAAAATGTGTTTATTTTTTATCAAGAACTGTACAAAAAAGAAGTGCACCAAAATCAATGTCATTGCCCAATATTTTGTAGTTCATGATGAATAAAAAAAATATTTAAAATCATCGACAGTTCAATTTCTAATTCTTACCAGGATGCTGTTGCCATGGGAACGCAATGTAGCTCCGAACCACTGATGGGACTTGAACTCCACCTGAGTGTTCACGTTGTTTATGTAAAAATATCGATCGCCTAGAACAAAATAGAGGAGAAAAAAACACACATTTAAGATCATATTTAAGACAACCAAGATAAGATAAGACTTTATTTATCCCGAAGGATATTGTTGTGCCAGAGTTACAAAAAATACAATAAACACAGCATGATAGTAAAACTGTACATTAAAAGTGCAGTAAAAAAGCAATTAAATCAAATTAAAATATCTACAGCAGGGGTGTCAAACTCAATTTCATCGCGGGCCACATTCGCATAAAGGTTGCACTCAAAGGGCCGGTTGTAACGATATAAATATATAATATAAATATAAAATAATGTATTATATTACATTATTTCCTCTGCATTGGATTATTATCGGATAGGATAATAACTTAGTAATTAACTACGTCTGAAAGCAGAAGTCCAGGGCAAATAATTGCAAGTCTCTTCAGTGCGCATGTCACAAAACGAGATGCATTGTGGGACATGTAGTTTGTGGGCAACCTGCTTCTGTAAAGGCATGTAACCGTATAATAAACGTATTATATTCTTTGCAAGCTCTTGCGGGGCCACATAAAATGAAGTCGCGGGCCGGATTTGGCCCCCGGGCCTTGAGTTTGAGACCCCTGAACTACAGGAAACATAGACGGTCACATCATTAATGTAAATACCTACACACCTTGTCTTCTTGGAAAATGTGACTTCAGTGATTTCATGATTTGCTATTCTAAGTAAGTCAAAGATCCCCTTGTCATCAGTGTTTGATTTCCGTGCTGTCAGGGCCTCATTTGAGTGTGTTCCCCACATATTCTTGGCTTTTTTACATGGATATTTTATAGCCTTGTTCCAGGGCTCTGCAGTCTTAATCCATCCTCCATGCTCGGCAGACATCAAAAAGCTCAAAGGGACTCGGACCTTGTTGTTACTGTAAACCAAACGGCTGTACTTCATTGTCAGGATCTGTTTTAAGAAGAGGCCCATGGAGGTACGAAGGCAATGAGCAGTGATGGAAAAGGGGGAAGGAGGAGTGATCTAGGTGTGTGTAAATGTTGTACTTTTGCAGCCTCAGCAGCATTAAACCTTCTCAAGTTTTGTTCTCAACAACAACATGCTCTAAAATGATTCATTTGGAGACGTAAGACGGTAATATTTCTTCTTTGATTGCTATTCCCGGTCCACTAAATGTCTTTATAGGTGAGCCAGGTTGAGTTTACTTCCAATGGCACTCTGTAAAAACAAATCCCTGCCTGGGAAACACAGATCATTTGGGACTGATCCGACTCTTTTAAAGGGGCCCTGTAGTGCTTTTTAGGGTTTTCACTTTCCTGTAGTGTGTTCTATAGGGTTGTGAGCATGTACATGGTCTGCAAAGGATAAACACACTATGTAACACTGTTGGTTAGCGCTCCAACACATCGTGATAGGCTAAGGGGCGGGACATCTCTAAGCGGTGGACCAATCACAACAGAGCCGGCCAGCTAACCAATCAGAGCAGACTGGGCTCTGGTTTCAGACAGAGGGTGCAGAAGAGCTTTTTGAACATTAAAGCATGGAGACATGTCCCAGTAATTGTTTGGTAAAAGCGAAAATGCTTGATGTATGGGATTCACCATTGTCCAAGTAGATGAATTGAGAGGCGGGACTTCTGTGGTTACTTTTGCTGGATACCCTAAGCCAGGTTGCCGACCCCTGCCCTAAGCTATATGACTTTACTACCAATAGTTAGCATGACTTGAACATAAAAAAAAATGTGTGGGGGTTTTCCTCGTCGATCCTAATTTCTTCTACATGCAGGAATTTACTCACACCTACTGCTCAGCTCAAAAATGTTTTTTTGCAATTCAGCATTCTTGAAAATCATTTAAGAAAAACCTGACGCCCTAAATCACAATTGCATACTTTTGTTAGTGCATGGGTAAGCTGTGTGGTCGATTCTCTGATATGTTTGCCTGCTGTGAGACATTAAACTCCTCTGGCTGTGTTGCAGTGCCTGTTTGGCTAATGAAGTCTGGGCTGTGCCCTTAAACACACCGTGAATCCTGAGGCCTGCAATGGGAAATGCAAGAAACCAAAAGCATAAGCATGTGAGTGTAAATATGTGTGTGTGCAGAGATGGCAAAAGTACACACATCCTTTACTCAAGTAGAAGTACAGATACTCGTGTTTAAAAATACTCTGGTAAAAGTAGAAGTACTGACTAAACTTCTTTACTCAAGTCAAAGTAAAGAGGCTTTGAAATGTACTTCAGTAAAAAGTACCCATAACTAGCAGCTGCTTTAAAGAGTACCTGACCTCCCTTTATATTAATAGAACAATAATGTCATTGTTAGCTAATGAATGTTTCCATGCTGAACAACGGCAACATGACAACGTTTCCATTGGTCCCTCTTCTTTAGAGAAGACCAGGAAATGATGGATACACGGATCGTGTTCAAATCAATAGGCACGCAATGACTCTAAAGAATAATGATCACGCATCAAACACACATTCAGACTAAAGGAACCAGCTGTTTGGAAAATGAGAGAAGTAAGAAGTACAGGTATTTGTGTTCAACATGTAAGAAGTAGAAAGTACAGGTATTTGAGTTCAACATGTGAGAAGTAGAAAGTACAGGTATTGAGTTCAACATGTAAGAAGTAGAAAGTACAGGTATTTGTGTTCAACATGTAAGAAGTAGAAAGTACAGGTATTTGTGTTCAACATGTAAGAAGTAGAAAGTACAGGTATTTGTGTTCACATGTAAGAAGTAGAAAGTACAGGTATTTGAGTTCAACATGTAAGAAGTAGAAAGTACAGGTATTTGAGTTCAACATGTAAGAAGTAGAAAGTACAGGTATTTGAGTTCAACATGTAAGAAGTAGAAAGTACAGGTATTTGAGTTCAACATGTAAGAAGTAGAAAGTACAGGTATTTGAGTTCAACATGTAAGAAGTAGAAAGTACAGGTATTTGTGTTCAACATGTAAGAAGTAGAAAAGTACAGGTATTTGATTCAACATGTAAGAAGTAGAAAGTACAGGTATTGAGTTCAACATGTAAGAAGTAGAAAGTACAGGTATTTGAGTTCAACATGTAAGAAGTAGAAAGTACAGGTATTGAGTTCAACATGTAGAAGTAGAAAGTACAGGTATTAGTAGTTCAACATGTAAGAAGTAGAAAGTACAGGTATTTGTAGTTCAACATGTAAGAAGTAGAAAGTACAGTATTGAGTTTCAACATGTGAGAAGTAGAAAGTACAGGTATTTGAGTTCAACATGTAAGAAGTAGAAAAGTACAGGTATTTGAGTTCAACATGTGAGAAGTAGAAAGTACAGGTATTTGAGTTCACAACATGTGAGAAGTAGAAAGTACAGGTATTTGAGTTCACATGTGAGAAGTAGAAAGTACAGGTATTTGAGTTCAACATGTGAGAAGTAGAAAGTACAGGTATTTGAGTTCAACAGTGTAGAAGTAGAAGTACAGGTATTTGAGTTCAACATGTAAGAAGTAGAAAGTACAGGTATTTGAGTTCAACATGTGAGAAGTAGAAAGTACAGGTATTTGAGTTCAACATGTAAGAAGTAGAAAGTACAAGGTATTTGAGTTCAACATGTGAGAAGTAGAAAGTACAGGTATTTGTGTTCAACATGTAAGAGTAGAAAGTACAGGTATTTGTGTTCAACATGTAAGAAGTAGAAAGTACAGGTATTTGAGTTCAACATGTAAGAAGTAGAAAGTACAGGTATTTGTGTTCAACATGTAAGAAGTAGAAAGTACAGGTATTTGTGTTCAACATGTAAGAAGTAGAAAGTACAGGTATTTGAGTTCAACATGTAAGAAGTAGAAAGTACAGGTATTTGAGGTCAACATGTAAGAAGTAGAAAGTACAGGTATTTGTGTTCAACATGTAAGAAGTAGAAAGTACAGGTATTTGAGTTCAACATGTAAGAAGTAGAAAGTACAGGTATTTGTGTTCAACATGTAAGAAGTAGAAAGTAAAAAGCCGTCAGAAAAATAAGTAGTGGAGTAAAGTACTGATACCAGAAAAATGTACTTAAGTACAGTAACAAAGTATTTGTACTCCACTACTTCCCACCTCTGTGTGTATGTGTGTGTGTTTTCGGTATGTTTCGGAGGCAGAAAATGTGTAAACAGTGTGTAGATGAGTATTTGTGTACGCAGAGTTTACATAGCCGCAGCTCCCAGTCTGATATCAACGTACGATAAGTTCGACCCTGTGATCCTCAAACGGTGGTCCTTATCACTTCCTGTATTTCTGATGAGGGTGATTATTTTTCAGGGGGCAGTTCAGGTCCTCTGGGGTCCTCTTTGTCCCTATTATGACTCTCCACTAATTAAAGAACGCTCACAACACTGGGCCCGAGTCCAACAGGAAATCAAAGCTCTGTGAAAACACTGCAAAATACAGACAAGGTCCCAAAATGGAGACCTTAGCGGTGGGGGAGGAAAGCCAGGTATTAAAGCTAACGAAAACAGAAGCAATGGATTAGACGCTGTAAATATCTGCACTTCTGACCTCAGGGTCACAGTTAACCCGGGATGCTACCTTTGGCTTCTCTCAGACACTTTTTATGGATGGTTAGAGACAGATGTTAACGACTCGCTTCTGTCTCAAACAGTTTAACATCTCTGTTGGTGAAAGTGACATTTTTACTTCCATGTCCTTGAACAATGTGATTTACAACCTCATAATGGTGATGATGTAGGGACAATTCTCTCCATTGGATTTGCAATATTGAAGGGGCCATATTTTTGCTTTTTAGGGTGTTCTCTTTTCTGTAGTGTGTTATATAGTTCTTTGTGCATGTAAATGGTCTGCTAAGGCTAAAATCCAAAATCCCACACACTCATCCCCGCCTGAAATGCCTCTATTGGACTCCTTTGTTTACTTAACACAACGACATTACTATGTAACACTCGTGCTTCTATTGGCTAGCGCTCCAACACATTGTACGTGATAGGCTAAGGGGCGGGACATCTCTTACGGTTGACTAATCAGAATATAGCCGGCCAGCTAACCAATCAGAGCAGACTGGGCTCTGGTTTCAGACAGAGGGTAATAAGAGATGCTGCAGCACAGGCAGTATGAGAACAATAAAGAGCTTTTTGAACATTAAAGCATGGAGACATGTCCCAGTAGAGACACAATTTACAAATATGAACCTGAAAATGAGCATAATAGGGCCCCTTTAACGTGGCTTGGAGATCACATTTGTATCCACGAAGAGGAAGACTCGTCAAATTACATTTTACAAGACACCCTACCTTGCTTGTCGAAGTGGATCATGCTGCAGTTATCGTGTCTCCAGGGGCACGAGAACACGCCTCCTCCTTCAGTGATGTCCGGCTGGCTGGTGTTGGCTTTCGGAGCACCGATCAAAACACTGAAGCTAGAGCAGGAGGAAAGAAAAAACGTAAATTGCGGTGACGGGACTGTGTCCAGGAAAAGTGCAAGATTACGCCAAGTAACATTTGTGTTGATCTCAAATCAAAACAAATGGAATCAAGTGCAATTATCCTGTCTTAAAAGAAGTGTTGTCTTACAGCTGATGAAAAGAGGATCAATCTGGACAAAGAAGGGGGGTAAAAAGGGTCTGAAGGGTACATTATGAGCCTACATATGATATGCCAAGAGTATTTATTTTGTTGCCGGTGAGTTAGATGAGATTAACGTTGAAACTACCACATTGCTTTTGAAAACTACACTGAAAAAACTGAACCGTTGACTTTAAATAAATGTATCATGTCAACAGATTTCACATTAGGTTAGTTGAAAGCAATAATATTAAGTTTGAATAAAAAATATTATGTTTAACTTAATATTATTGCTTTCAACTAACCTCGTAAAGTCTGTTGACATACTACATTTAATTAAAGTCAACATTTCAGTTCTTTCAGTGCAGGGCTGGACCGTAATATGCCCATATTCTTTTGTTGTCTAAGGATTTAAGGATTCAAGTATTTGTGCGATCATCTTGGAACTTATTTATCCATAATTAAGAAAATGTCCAAAAAGTGCACATTGAACCAAACAATTCTGAATTTCCAAAAAACACACCAAACATTTAAAAAAGGGAATCCGGTTTTTCAATAACAATGAATATACACTTTAGAAAAACTCAATTGACACTTTCTGTATAAGCAGGGGTGCACATAACTGGTACGCAGGTAGGCCTACGCATGCGCGGCAACAATCTGAAATGCGTACTTTCACTTGTGTCATAAAGCGCATTTGCGTACCGACGTACTTGTGAAGCTTTTCCAGAAGGCGTAGTCGGTCTCCGTGTGCACAGACAGGGCTGCTGTTAACGTCGGTCTGTACAACGGAATTGTGCCAAAACTAGCCAACCGGCTGCGGAGGGAGACTCCCCCCCTTCACTGGAGAACTGCGCTAAAACAGCTGATCACAACGTTCACGCTCTGCGGTCATGAAGTACTCCACTAGCAGCAGCCCCCCCCCCCCCCACCGTTGACGTTCGCGATATAGAGGGCTTCATCAAATAACTTTGAGTGGAGCCAGAAGTTGGAGTACCAAACACTGACTCCAGGTACTCATCTGAGTACCTCACTTACCTCATTCACACCAACGCAACTCCGGTTCAAGATCCGTGCTAGAGCTTTTCAGGTTCAGAACCAGTTCTTCGGTTTAGCTCTGGCTCTCTTCACACCGCCCATAGTCCGACTGGTAATGCGTCGTTGCGTCATCGTTTGCGTCATGACGTAACCGTTTGCGTGCCTGCTTCATAAAGCCAAACCGTGTGGATGAAATCAGTTGCATTCATTTCTTATGGCTCTATCTGCAGCGTTTCCGGAGTCATTTCTGTGGTTTAGTTATATTCTTATAAAAACTGTACTCGTGTCAATAAAGGTTTTTTTAAAACACAACTGCTTCCGAGGTCGGTCTTATTTCTTAAGGTGGACTGAACCATGAGTGTGGAGTCACGTTGTATCTTTCATTTAAATGAACTGTAACCTTCACCCAGGTATGTACCAGCTGTTCTCAAATGAACACGTGAAGTAAAGTTTAATATTTATAGTTTTATAGATTTATAATGAGTTATAATGAGAGGTGATCAACGTGAATGCTCAGGTTCCACCTTAACACGCAGACACGTTGCTTCACCATGAGCAGGAACCTTTATACAGTCTATGGCAGAAACTCTGAAACTCTTGTTAAGTTTCTCCATCGTTGTGAACAAACTGGATAAAACGCAGGCTTTTTGTTGTTGTTCAGGAGTTGATCTGTCTCTGCCCCCGCCTCGACGTAAGCGTGACGTATGTGGTGCTTTTGCTCTGGCCGGACAATTTTTTGGTGCTTGAAACGAACCGGATTCCGGAGCTAAGAGGCTGCTCCGCTGCGGTGTGAAGAGGAAAACCCGGTGCTTTTCAAGCTCCAGCTCCGAACCGGCCCTGAAACACCGTTGGTGTGAATGAGGTAACTGAGAAAGTGATGTGCACCCCTGTGTATAAGTATGTATTGAAGTAGACTAAAAGAAACGTGTAGCATCTCAGACAAGAATAGAAAAATGTCTCATTGTCTCTTAACTCAGTAGAGAAAGCAAGACACAGAAGTCATTTATACAACACTACTATACAAAGTGGTTCCAAAGGTTATCATCCCCTAGTTTATGGGGTCTCTTCCACAGCACATGGTTCCCATACACACACTTAAAGCTCAGTTTACATCGTTCACCTCAGTGGCTGTTCTTCTGCAGATCCCTGTCATTTTCACTAACAGTTAGTAATGGAGGATTTTAAAAGTCTGAAAGAGGAGAAACACTGAGTCCAGAATCGCTGCCCAGAAGGTTAAACATCCGTCTTTACTCCACAATGTCACATATTGTAACATTAAGTTAAGCTGAAGACTTGTAACCGCAGCATGAGGTCAAAGTCAGCAACGAAATCCTTTATCCTCGGTTACGGAGGAGTATCATTTTTGCCTCAAGCCAGGTAGAGTCAGTGTTAATCTTGGCAGCTATTTTAGATTTAGTCTTTAGACGAAAATGGTTATTAGTCTCAGTCACATTTTAGTCCTTTTTATCCTTCCTAGTTTTAGTTTTAGTCGACGACAACTCAACACGTTTTAGTCCAGTTTTAGTCGATGAAAAATCATTACATTTTAGTCAACTTTTAGTCCAAATGTTTTCTCTCTTTAAACTAATTCAGTTGTTCAAGGTTCTTTATTTTGCCATACGAACAGTGTAGTTATGCCGATGAAAATCTTAGGTCACAGGCTTCTCCAACAGTGCAACACAATAACACAGATAAACAGAACAATATAGTGCAAGTAAATAGTTGATACAAAAAGAAAAATAGTTTAAAAAAGTGAAATAGTTAATACAGGTATCTGAAATTGGAATCAAGGTGACAGTATCAAGTGTTGAAATTCATAAAGCAACATTTCACTCTCTTAACACTTTACTTGTGTAATTATGTGAGTGACGTGTGCAGATTCCCAGAATCCCTACTGATTCAACCAATGATGCATTTTGACAGACAAGACGGACAATAGGGGGAAAATATCCTGCATTTTGAATGTCCGATAGTCCACCCTTAACACCTTAGTCTCGTCTCGTCAGCGAAAACCAAATATACATTTCGTCATAGTTTTTATTATCAAATATCTATTTTTAGCTCGTCATCGTCTCGTCTTAGTCATGTAAAAAAGGTTGTTGACGAACTTAACACTGGGTAGAGTATACATTTATGTAGGATATGAGGTGTGGGGTTACCATGCAACAATGAGGTTTCTTGGAAAATGAAATATGGAAGTGAAAACAGTCGTATAATGACATTTGATCACCTCACAAAGGTGTTAACTGTTTCTGTCTGCTGCTGGTGATGAGCAGGTAGTATACAGTGAAATATAAAAATAACACAATGAGTTGAAAGACCCTAAAACTCAGTAGAGCTTAGGGACTGCAAAGCCAGTAAAACATCCTTTGGGTTAGTCACTTTCAACACCTTTTCCATTAGTTGTATAACTGTAACCGTTTCTGTACAAATATTGAATAGAGAAGCTTTTAGGTTCGCTTGACACATAATAATGATGTATCGAAACATCATCAACAAAACAGATAATGATTACGAGTCATATTGGGCTAACAAAGAACAGGGAATGTATGGTTTTAGTTTCAGACTGGTCTTCTAGAAAGACTCAAACAAAAAATGTGATAACTGTGTTAGGGTGTGAAAACAAGTCACTGTTGACTCATTTTAATGTTTCAAGCCAAACCGTGAACTTTTACAGAACCAAGTAGTTGTTGTTCAGTTATTTCTTTCGTTTGCTTTGAATTTGCAATGTGTTTAAAACTTAAAATAGTTTTATGAAACGTTATTTTGTAGGAGACTGGATTGTTAGGGTTTTTATATAGTCCAGATAAAGCTGTGTTCATTCAAGAGTTTTTCTCATAATGAAGAAATGAACAATATAGGAAGCTTAGCAACTGCACTAAAAATACACACTCCGGTATCAGATCGGTCCGGAGCAATGAGAATGTAATAACTGTAATTGCCAAGATTGTAATCAGCAAGTTAGGAGAAGTGGCCTTAAGCATTTCTCCCTGTGTCCAAAAGGTTTCAGCCTTGAAATATATGAATGGCAAGGCGTATGTGTGAATATCATGCACTTAAACCCACATGCAAACGTACACATGCAAGTGTTTGTGTATAATAAGCCAGCTGTGCTTTCAAGGTTTTCAGACAAAGCGGTTAAAAGGCCTGGTGCTGAGCGAGTTTCCCAACCTACTGTAAGACGCTGGTGACTGATGACATTAGCAGAGATGAGAGGGACTCTGTACTCCCCCCCCCCCCCCCCCCCCCCCCCCCCCCCCCTCCCCCAAAATGTCTGGAGAGCACAAGAGGAATATGTACATGGCTGGATAAGCTCTTCTTATAAACCACTCACTCCACAGCCACTCTTTAAGGGCCGTCTCTCACAAAGCTACAGGACTTTTTAACCACTGCCGCCCTCCACCTGTGATCTCTGCACGTGTGGAGCTTTTAAGAGACAATTAAAAGCTCTTGAAATTTAATTTTACAACAATACCAGGAGGTGTATCAATGGGATGACGGATGTTTTTGTTGTGACCTGAAATAAGGATTCCTTTCCTTTAACTCACACTCAACGGGAACATCTGCAAAGAGGGAAAAGGCTTAAAGGCACGGCCCGGGTCAATGATGCAACATGTCGTTTAACTCAAGGATTTATGAGTTCAAGTGAAAACATTTACACACGCACATTATTCTGAAGCTAGTCATCGCCTAATGACAGGTCTTTGTCAGTCTAGATGTTCCTATGCATGGACGCCTACTCAGAACATTATCTTCTACACAACATTGTCCTTAAAGATATTCCAGATATTCAGTAATTTTACGCTTTTCGGGAGGG